TCATGCCTTGCTTGTGTGCTCTGCCTGGGCACTAAGGCTGGGTGGGGCTTTAAATCCAATCCGCCAAGGCTCTTCCTTTTGAGCTTAAGACCTCCCTTGCCAAGAGGATTAACCTGGGGTGGAGTTGGGAATGTCATGCACCCCTCAGCCCTGCTTGCATCATAGGCGCTGTGAATGGAGAAGGAAGCACTCACTCCACAAGGCCATGCCTGGTTCCCGTGCTGTTCTTCCACGCTTTATGTACCTGAGTAGACAACCGCAACAAAATGTTGCAGCAGGGAGCACTCCTGTTAAGGATTTTTGGCTGGCTGGCCATGCCTATTTTCAGGATACGCCATTTTAACACCTTCCTAATCTAACCCCCTTATCGAGCTGTGGTTTCAGCGCGTTTCCCTCCACACAGCCTTAACATTTTTGTACTTTTGCAAACCTTGGGAAGAGGGACGCGGGTGGCGCTGTGGGTTAAACCACAGAGCCTCTTGGACTTCCCGATCAGAAGGTCGGCGGTTCGAATCCCCGCAACGGGGTGAGCTCCCGTTGCTCGGTCCCTGCTCCTGGCAACCTAGCAGTTCGAAAGCACGTCAAAGTGCAAGTAGATAAATAGATACCACTCCAGCGGGAAGGTAAACGGCGTTTCCGTGTGCTGCTCTGGTTCGCCAGAAGCGGCTTAGTCATGCTGGCCACATGACCCGGAAGCTGTATGCCGGCTCCCTCGGCCTATAGAGCAAGATGAGCGCCGTAACCCCAGAGTTGGCCACGACTGGACCTAATGGTCAGGGATCCCTTAAAAGCTTGGGATTACCCTAGCCTACCGCTACTTCTCTCTTTCGCAGAGACCCTGCCGCTGTTATTTAAAGGATCTACACTTGTGAGAATGAGTTTCCTCTTAGTAGAGATGTTGCTTGATGCTGCACCTCATCCTGGAACATTGGCTTGGCCATCCCTGCCTGGCACTGATTGGAGTTGGGAGCCCAATAACAACAGGCCCACCCACCCCACTCCTGTCTGAGAACGTACCAAGGAACGTGGGGATGTCGCAAAACTCTCCTCGGCCCGTTCAGAGAAAGCTGTTCTCTCTGTTGTTGGGCAGAGGAATCCTGGGAAAGGGTAGATCAGGCCCAACTCTGGCAACAACCTGAAGGAGCGTCTCCACCCCCATTGTTCTGCCCGGACACTGAGGTCCAGCGCCGAGGGCCTTCTGGCGGTTCCCTCGCTGCAAGAAGCCAAGTTACAGGGAATCAGGCAGAGGGCCTTCTTGGTAGTGGCACCTTCCCTGTGGAACGCCCTCCCTTCGGATGTCAAAGAGAAAAACAACTACCAGACTTTTAGAAGACATCTGAAGGCAGCCATGTTTAGGGAAACTTTTAATGTTTAATAGGTTATTGTACTTTAATATTCTGTTGGAAGCAGCCCAGAGTGGCTGGGGAAACCCAGCCAGATGGGCGGGGTATAAATAATAATAATAATAATAATAATAATAATTACAAAAAGAAACCCTGCAGCCAGTCCAGGAGAAGATTTACTCCTGCTTTCATCTGACTTCCAACTCATTTTCTCCTTGAAATAAGAGTTAAAGCGACGGTTTGGAAATCTCTGTTGGTCTTTATGGGCATTTTAGCTTCCACTGAAATATTTCACCTGAGAAAAACACATGTATCCCCCCCCCTTTAAAAAAAAGGAAGAAAATCACTTCAGTGGCGGTGCTTGTATCAAAACGGTCCTTAAATTGAACTCTCTGTAAGGGGGGGGAAAAACCCAAGCTGCTTACAAAGATAAAATTTTAGCTCACTTCCCTACAGAACTGGAGAAAAGCATTACATCAATAGGTTGTGTGTGTTTTTTATTCATTGGCACAGCCTCCTGTTCCTCTATTAGCAGCCACAGATGTTTAACTGGTGAGGCTTTTTTCCTGGCATGAGGATAAAGTGACCGAGAAAAATTCACAGCTCATATTTCAATGCATCAGGCTGCTGTGGGAAAAACATTGGCAGGGTCTTTTTTCGATTTTTTTTTTTTTAACACAGAAATCCTGCCCCAGAAGTGAATGCTACCATCGCTGTGGCCTGTATTCAAAGCAGTCTTTTCACTGCCTGCACCTGCAGTCACAGGTGCCTGTATACAGTGCAAGGCACCGTCAACTGCCCTCTGTTTCTCCAAAAAAGCACCTGGGCCCTACCTGCTGTTCCTGCTTTGAAGGAAACCCGATCTCCCTCCTGGGGCAGACAGGTGGTCATGGAGACGTGCAAAAAAAGTCGACAGATCAGACCGGTTCTAAACAGCAGGCGCCTGCTGCCAAAGAACACCCTCACCCTGTCCAAAACAATGGGGAGGTATTTTGGAGGCTGGTTTTAACAGTGCAATAAGAGCGAGGAGGTGCAAAACCCACGCACACTAACCAAACTATTTTTTAAAATTTTATTTATAGCACCGTAACGTACCTTTACTAGCTGAAGGAGCATAGCTGTTTACAAAAGAACAACAAGCAGAGCTACTGATGCAATTCTCTTTTCTCCTCAGAGCCATGAGGCCTAGTGAGATTTTTGGACCGAATTCAGAGAGGAAGAGGGGGAAAGTGTTGATTAATGGGAGACCAAAATAGGCCACCAATGCCGGCAACTTTGCCAACCATATTGACATTCAACATTATTAATGAGTGTTATTACTGATAATAACAACAGGCAGGCAGACACACACACCGCCAGGACCTATTCCAGTCAGACTGTGCCATCCCATAGGGCCATCAGACACCATTCTGCCCTGTGATAAAGAAGAGGGGCTGGGAGACAGGGTTATTTGGGTGGGAGAACTCAGAAACTGTAAACCGTCTTGGTGAACCGGCAGTGTATAAATCCAGTAAATAGGAAAACATATATATATTCATCTGCAGGAACCATTTAGACCAGGGACACCCCTCCCTCCAACCTAGACTACAACTCCCATCATTCCTGACCAAAGGCCATGCTTGCTAGGGATGATGGGAGTTGGAGTCTGACAGCATCCAGAGAGGCTAGGGACCTGAACCACTTTTTATGGCTGTATTTGGGAAGTTGCTCACAGTACGACAAGCAGTTGGTGCCTCCCACTCTGCTCTTCCTTTGAAAATACAGTGGTACCTCAGGTTAAGTACTTAATTCATTCTGGAGGTCCGTTCTTAACCTGAAACTGTTCTTAACCTGAAGCACCACTTTAGCTAATGGGGCCTCCCACTGCTGCTGCGCCGCCAGAGCCCGATTTCTGTTCTCATCCTGAAGCAAAGTTCTTAACCTGAAGCACTATTTCTGGGTCAGCAGAGTGTGTAACCTGAAGCGTATGTAACCTGAAGTGTATGTAACCCGAGGTACCACTGTATATCAGGAAGTACCTTTTGCCTCTGTAGCAACATTTTTTTAAAAAAATCGCAATAGACAGCACTTCACAATAAGGAAGAATCCACGGTTTTTATGCCCTTCCAGGACTGGGGTGGAGAAGGCCAACATTGCTCTTTCTTCTGCGGATCAAATTCGGCTACACGAAACTTCCTTTCCCCAATGCGCACTTCCTCTCCCACTCAGAGGAGATGGCCCAGTCACTCAGCCGGAGCCACTAGGACATTTCACTTGCAATTAATTTTATACCAAGCAAGGTGGCTTTAAATATTCATGCGGCCGCGAAAAGGCGAGGGATTCGGTGTCACCGTGGCAAGGATCCCTTCTGCTTCAGCAAGGTAAGGGGTTCCTCGCCGCCATCAACCCCCAAACCTCCCCTTGTCGGACAAACCCCAAAACAGGAAGGCAAGGAGAGTTAGGTTTCAATACATCTTTTAATTACACTCAAATGCGGAGACAGAGCCCACCGGGGACACACACAAAAACAAACCAAAAGTACGAAAATAACTCTGTGCCTTTTTCACAAAGGCGGGGGGTATTTACAGACATTTGTGGGTATGTATGAAGGAGGGGGAAACCTGCTGGTCCTCATTAAGGCACAGCATGGGGTAGTGCAGAAGAGAGGGGAAGAGGGACCCATCTCCTGATCCTCCAAACAATTCCACAGGAACCCCCCACCCCACCGAAAACAACGCACACAATGATGGTGAACGATCCAGGGGAGTTTATGGGGAGGGGACGTGGGGCAGGCCAAACCGGGGGACGGACAGACCCCCGGCAAACAGATAAGCAAGTCTTTAGGAATAAAGCAAGGCCCAGGGGCTGGCAGTGCGAGTGGTGCTGTGCCCCCTCTGTCCTTCCCCCAACCCTGGCCTTGTTCCCTGATGAAAGAAGGGGGGCAGGCCTTGTTTACCTGTTGAGACAGGCAGGGTGGAGGTTGTGCGGAGAAGGGCAAGGAAGAGACAGCACTTTTAGACAGGAGCCTGGTCTTTTCCTCCCAAGCAACAGGCTGGGGGGTGGGATTCAGCACCAGCCAAGACCACCCGGTTAAGAGCACCAAAAAGAAACCAGAGAGCGCCATTGGGGGAGAGAGAGAGAGATTAAAGACTGCCAGAACCTGGGGGTGTCACGCAAGGCATGCTGAGCCCAAAGGTCCTTTTCGCCAGCGCCGGGAGAAGCTAGGTGCGTTTCCTTCCCAAGCTGCCCCACGCCCAGTTTTTAGTCAGCTCTTCATCTCCTCTAACATGTACTACAAAAAAAGGAAGAAATCGAATCCTCTTAAGGCAGCAGCACGCAAAATGTCTCCTGGTGGTCGAAGAGGAGGGAAATCTTCAGGGTAAAGAGTGTCCCGTCCCTGTCCCCCCCTTGTTAAAAAAAGAAAGCAAAAATAAGTTTCCCCTTTTCGGCAACCCCAAACTTCATGGGGTTCCGACAAAACTCCCCCTGGGATGTCTCTTGCGGCTGCCTCACCTCTCAAAGTCGAGGGAGGCTTCGCTGCCCCACCAACAGAGTCTGGCCACGCAGGGCCCATAAATTAAAACAAAAACCAGAACTTCGTAGAGTCTCTCTTAAGCGTGTCTTTTGCGAAGGCCAAAGTTCTCTTCCCGGCATCTAGGGATGCCGCCGAGGCCGGGCTCACACGTAGACGGCTGTCTTGGATATGATGGAGCCGTCGTGCTGGGACTCCATGTCGTCGAAATCGTAGCCGTGGTGGGGAGAGCTGAGCCGCAACATGGGGCCCAACTGGTCGTACTGCTCCTCGTCGCCCTCCAGGCGGTGGGACGGGTAGCCGTAGGGCGGGAGGCGCTCCTCGCGTTCATCTTCCTCGTCGTACTCGTCGTCGTCCTCCGGCCCCCTCCCCGGGGCGGCTTTGAGGGGCCGGTCGAGTTCAGTGAAGTCGCGGGCTGGGGGAGGAGCTGTCCCGTTGCCAAAGACCCGGGTCTTGGGGTCGTAAGAGCCTTTGGTGCCCCGGTGGCGGTGGCGACGCACAGCAAAGAAGACTATGGCTCCCAGGAGAGCCAAGGCTAGGATCCCCCCCACGATGGACCCGGCCAAAGCTCCAGCGCTGCTGCTCTGCCTCTTCGCCGGCTGGTCTGAGTAAAGAAAGGAAGACGAGGGGTGTCACTCAGAGAAAAGTGCATCACTAGGCTTTGCCAGCGTTGGGGAAGGGGCAGAGCTGCAGGTGGAGCCGTGGAAGAGCACACGGGCGGGGTCTCAGGGACCCCCCGCCTCCCCTATCCATCTGGAAGGGTCCCCCTTGCTGTCCGAGGAGAATTGGGACATTAGAGGGTCCAGGGAGTGCCTCTTCCATGCAGGCCTGCCCAAGCATGACGCGGCCTAGCATGTCGCCTCTGTACCTAAAACACACCCAGCCGGAGGCACAGCCTGTGCCACAACTTACACCCACAATGTGCCCATGGCGCTGCTTGCTTTCCCGTTTCCACAATGCATTCAGCTTTCGGTACATGCACAGCAAGCCCGCAACTTACACAGGAGTTAACGTTCTGCGGATCGCGCCTAAAGCCAAAATCGCGTGGGCTCAACCCTGGGTGGGATTGCCAAAGTCGTTTTCCCTGGAACCCTGACTCCTCTTTCCATCCTCTGTTTTTTGGCGGAATGCACACGGTTTAAATGCACGTAAGTTGCGGGCTTGCTGCATTCCCAAGACGTGAGCATGTATCGAACCATTTACAATACCAGGAGAAGGACGTCATATGGTGTGGAGGCCCAGATTTGGGACTTCCAGTTCTTGTTCAGCTCCACCCAGCACGGCCGTGATAGGAGTTGCAGTCCAACAACATCTCAAATTTCAGCAAATTTGGTGTCCCCGTCTCTTGCGCTCACCTAAATGCATCTCTGGAGGGAGATTCAGGTTCCCCACCCCTAGTCTAAAGATTTCTCCCTGACATGTTAGTATCATGTATACAAGGATTGGGGGGGGGGGAGGAGAACAGAAGCACTCTAAACATCCCTTCCTCCGTCTCAAACTGAAAATGGTGCAGCCCAGTAATCAAGTTCTAAAGAGTTTCAGCTCTCAGCCCAGAGAAGGAAGCACATATTATATACAAACAACTGGCCCCCAAAGCAGTTTTGTTTTTTGTTTGGGTTTTTTTAAAAAGGCAGCAAGATTCCCCATATGTGCAAAACACCAGGCCACCAGATCCAAGTCCTTTTACCCAAAAGCTTCATGCACACTCAAGACCATCGACTCCCCACGATTCTCACCTCGGACAAGGATGACTTGGTCTGTCGAAACCTGTCCCACGCGATTGGTGGCCTGGCATCTAAAAGTGGTGTTCACCGAAGCATCCACGTTGCGCACCAAGAGTATGTCGCCCTGGACCTCCACAGTCTTTGGCAGAGGCCCATTGGCCCTGAATGGGAGCAATTGAGAGAGAGAGAGAGAGAAGACTTAGTTAGGAAACAGAATCTGGGAGACTCCCAACAGTCCCTTGTAAGAACCCATTACACATGGCATGTCTTTTGCATTGAAGAATGCAAGACACCTGTGCGTTTACAGCAGTATACAAATTTAATAAATGATAGCGATAGTGATAATGATAATAAATGCATTCCGCTGCTTTGTGAGCTTTTCTCCACAAGCCACAACAATCAAAAACTTTTCTTTTTTAAAAAAGAAAGAAGAGAATGCTACGAATTTCATACTATACATACCATAGATTCCGGTGTATAAGACGACTTTTTAACCCTGGAAAAGAGGTTAAAAAGTTGGGGGTCGTCTTATACGCCGGGTATGGCTGCAGTGGGTGGTGGGCTCCGCTCTGCGGTGGAAGGAAGCCACCCAGCGAAGCCGGCTTAGCATCGCTGGGCAGCTTCCTCCCGGCGTGGAGCCCGCCGCCCACTGCCCAGCAAAGCTGCCGAAGCGTATAAGACCCTTCCCCAAAGTGGCAGCACTGTCTTATACGCCCAGTCGCCTAATACGCCGGAATCTACGGTAAGTGTTTCTTAACCTTGGGTCTCCGGCTGTCGTTGGACTACAACTCCCATCAACCCTAGCTAGCAGAACCAGTGGTCTAGGATGATGGGAGTTGTAGTCCAACAACAGCTGGACACCCAAGGCAGAGAAACCAGTCTAGGACAGTTTGAATGCATGGTACAGGGAAGGAGAAAAAGGGCCTACCAATGAAACTTAAATAGGAAATCATCCCAGAGAAGATGGATGAAGACCCTGCAGAGTTCCAGATACTGCTGGACTACAACTCCCATCAGCCTTCACCAATGGCTGGACTGCCTTGGGGCTGATGGGAGTACAAAAACATTGATAATACCACAGACTCCTCATCCCTGCTATAAAGGTTTATATCATTTTATATAAGGACTTCATGTAAGCTGAAGACATGGAGTAGCAACACATGAGCGAACTCTTTCCTGGTGCCACTTTGAGCTTAATTTGGCACTCACTGTTTACAATATTTTATCAATACAAAACAGGATACCATTTTTTCCAATGCAAGCCATGCCATGTGTATGGCCCTGGACTACACCACAAACTTAAGCCCCCTCCTCTTTGCAATACTTCTCTGCTTTTCTCCCCTCGTCCCAAGGTGCTCTACAGGAGATCATGCAGAACTCGGGAGCCCTGTTTTCCTGGCCCTCCCCTGCCCATAGCCAGAGTCATCTGGGGAGGATGTTTTTTCCTTTGGCGAGCCAGAAGAACCGGCTCAGCCTCATTCTGTGCCGAAAGGGGAAGCCGTCTCCCATGGGCTGGAGGAAGAGGCTTAACACAGCCTACGAGTTCTTTGGAGAAGACTGTGCAACGTTCAACCCACTGAGCTGAAGGCAAGCCACCAATCCCACACGTTTTGAAAATGTTTTTGTCTTCTTGCAGCCCGAGGCAGGCAGAAAACCCCTGGTGGTTTTTCAAATAAATAATAATAATAATAAGTTTCCTAGGGGCAGATGGGGCTGGTCAACCTGGGAAGGTAAGCTCATCTAGAAGAAGGAAAACTCTGATCCTAAACCTCCGGCTGAGGAGTAAACCCTACACAAATCTGGAGTGGAGTCCCTAAGATGGTTGGATGGCGCCTTGCACACCTCCTTCGGGCAACTCTTGCACCCAAGCCAGTGCCAAATGTATTGCTCTGCCTTCCTTTGGACCACATCAAAAAGGCCAAGAGTGGGGTCTTGTCATCTAGGCAGCCCAGAACCTCCAGACACACTGCCCAGGCTTGCGCCCCGGGGAGGTCACTTTGGTACTGCAAATGCAGCAGTTAGACTTCACCCCTGGAGGTACACTCCATTGTCTCTCAAGGCCAACGATAGGCTTCCATTCATGGCTGCGTTTTGCTTAGTGGGTCACAAGCTATTCAGGCCTATCATAAAATACAGTGGTACCTTGGTTTTCAAATGCCTTGGTACTCAAACATCATGGAACCCAAACACTGCAAACCCGGAAGTAAGTGTTCCGGTTTGCAAACTTATTTTGGAAACCGAACATGCTCCGTTTTAAGTTTTACGCTTCCATTTTGAGTGCCACACTTCCGTTTTGAGTGTTACACTGAGGTCTGTCTGTTTTTGCCATTTATTTTGTGTTTTTGCAGCTATTTTTGTTTTGTTTTTGTGACTGTGTGGAACCCAGTTCAGCTACTGATTGACTGACAGTGTGACTGCAGTACATTGTTTATTGCTTTCATTGTATGCATCAATGGTCTCGTTAGAGAGTAAAATTCATGTTAAATTGCTGTTTTAGGCGTTGTTTTCAAAAGTCTGGAACGAATTAATCCATTTTGCATTACTTTTTATGGGAAAGCGCGCCTTGGTTTTGGAACGCTTTGGTTTTGGAACGGACTTCCGGAACGGATTAAGTTTGAGAACTAAGGTACCACTGTAGATGTAATTGCCAGGAGCAGCTTGCATTGAAAAACAAAAGCAGCAAGTTTCTAGTTCTCGTGGACATAGAAGTGAAGCCTGGGGGGAGGGCGGGGAGCCATCACTCACTGGGCATCTTCTAAAGAAGCATTCTTCAGCTTTGGATCACAATTCCCTTCACCCCCTAACCTGCTGGTGGTTGTGCTGGGTGGGGCTCAAAACATCTGGGGAGCTGAGATAACCCTCCCGGGTAGACTTTCAAATTCTGAACGTCCCAAATAGTGCAGAGAGAACGTAAGGTCACTCAGTGCAGATCCTCCGTCTTGAAAACAGGAACTGCAGCACATGGAAAAGCCTTTCATCAGCACCACTCCTGAGAAAGTGCAGGGATGCACTTCAAAGCTCATCAAAGTGCAGAAGTCCTAATTGGCCGGCTTCAGGTGAATGCCTCCGCAGAAGGGCACACTCGAGGGCCGGGCCATGTGCACTGGCTGGTGGTGGGAGGGAGAGAGAAAGAAAGAGGTTTCGGACTCACGTGCTCCAGATGAACTCGGTGGGCGGAGGGTTCCCCTTGGCGGTGCACTTGAGCATGGCCTCGTTGCGGCTCAAATACCAGTTGTCGTCATATCCCTCTATGGTGACCTCGGGAGGATCTGCAAGGAGAAACCAGATAGGATACTCCCGTCTTTCTTGGTGGCGGGCACTGAGAAGATGCACAAATCCCTGCTTCTACTTTCTCCCCCAGCCAAGATTGCCTTCCTGCAAATATCCCCACAAGCTCTGCCTGGAACAGCATCTGCTATCTCCCCAGGTCCTTTTCTCAGTTTTTTCACCACCCGAAGAGCCTTTTATTAGCTACAGTTCTTTCCCAGTCTGTTTCTGCATCAGAATTGCCTTTGGGTGTTTTAAATGGTTGCATCGCCTGCGGGTTTGCAGCTCTGGGCAGCTTGGGGAGAAATGGTGGGATTCAAAACACAACCTCCAGGTGTCATTCCCCTCCTTCCAACATGCCTCCAAACTTGTGCTCCAACCACTAGGCGCCACTCCGCTACCCAAAGCTAGGGGTGGAACCCAGGCATCCTAGTTTCCCACAGCTTGCAAAGCAATGCTTAACTTCAACTGCTCCCCATCCCACCCCCCACCCTCAGGGTGGTAGCGAATAATAACAAAAATAAGTTCCGAGATTGTTCAAACCAGCATTCAAAGACCAATCCTCATTCACCTTCCCTTCCACATCCCAGGCCACTAAAAGTAGGCATAGGCAAACTCCTGCCCTCCAGATGTTTGGGACTACAATTCCCATCATCCCTGACCACTGGTCCTGCTAGCTAGGGATGATGGGAATTGTAGTCTAAAACATCTGGAGGGCCAGAGTTTGCCTATGCCTGACTAAAAGTATAGGATTGTAAGTTTTTCCAGGGTCAGGAAATAAGAGCAGAGAAGTGAAGGCTGTGTACACACCTAACATTTAAAGCACATTCTGCACCCCCTCCAGAAAATTCTTGTACTCCTTACAAGAGCTACAATTCCTAGCCCCCTTAAACTGCAGTTCCCAGGGGTCTTGATGGAAGGGGACGGAGAACGGCTTTTAAATGAAAGGGGTGTGTGTACAATCAACGTCTCCTGGGCTCTCTGACTGTTTTCCTCCGCAGGGGCCCACCTCAAGACCATAGCCACCTCCAACCCCAAAGCCAGGCCGCACCACTCACACAATATCGAAAGCACCACTGGAAGAGCTTCTGGCTGCGGTTGCGTCTTGTGCTCCACAATGCAGGTGATGCGCTGCCCATTGGCTTCCTTGGTGGGCACCATGCGGTAGTAGCTGGTGACGGTGACGGTGCCGTCCGCGTTGGTCACCTCCGAGACGGTGGCATTGCCGTTCAGCCCCGACTGCCACGTGATGCGGGCCGGTGGCTTCCCCCGATCGGAGATGCAGACAGCCACAGGGAGTTCGAGGTTGCTAGTCTTGACCTCCTGGGCTTCGGCCGTGTTTGTGGGCTTGGCTGGAAGAGAGGCAGAGGTTGGGGTGAAACAGAGCGGAGGGCTGGATCGTGCTACTTTTGAACTGCGGGGAGAAAGAAATCTGAGTGCATGTGTTTGGAACTCCCTGGTGGCGGGAAAAAACTTCCCTCCACATAGAAAGCTAGCATGTCAGGGATCAAATCTTCTCTGCCAACTGGGTTTTTTTTTGGGGGGGGAGGGGGGTTCTCCTCAGTCAAGGAAGGTTGAAACATGCACTCCTTCCCCCCACAGCTGAAGAAAACGGTGGCGTAATGGTTAGAGTGATGGACTAGGACCTGGGAGAGCAGGGTTCGAATCCCCACTCAGCCCTGAAGCTCACTGGGTGACCTCGGAGTGGTAGACAATGGTGGTAGACAACACAATAAAAATGATAAATGATTTAAAAAAAAGCTCTCCCTGTTGATTTGACTGTACGAACTGGCGTAGCGCAGTAAACAGGGTTAATAAAAGGAGTGACTCCGAAGTTAATTGTTCTCCATCTGGATGCCTGCTTGCGTGCAAGGGAGACAGAATTGAAGTGCCCTTTGCCTGTGCCTGGAAACGCAATGAACTGCCTAATAATAGGACGGCTCTGTTAAGGCTTCTGCTATTCATACGGGAGAAAGGGATTTGAAAGAGTCTTTTCCCACGTCCTGATTGGTGCAGACCAATGGGAGGAGCTGCTGTTGCTGGCTCTCGTCCCCCTTTGCTCAGTTCAAAAGCGTGCCCTCTATTAAGGCCTATTTGCATCGAGTAAACATGAAACCTCCGTTCCGGCCACATTTTGAACCTTAGCCATTGCATCGGAAGAACTGCCGCTACCTGTAGATTCCCTGCGATTGAGGGTCATTTCCTCAGTGTTCGCCAGCTACTCCACTGCGACACTTTCAAGCTGTTATGCTGCCACTCCTGGCTCTAAAGTGATTAAATTAGTTTGGATTTCTCTACTTCTGGTAAAGATAATGCTGGCAGGAGAAATCTGTGCGAGCGGGAAAAGTTATGCAGATCTACCCATGGTCTGATTGGTGCAAGTTTCCAAGGTTTCCCCATAATCACAGGGGCTAGAATCTCCGTAATCTTTAAAGGCTTTTTTTTTTTTTTTTAAATGGACTCTTCAGTGCTCCAGGCAGAAAGCACGCATGCCTAGTTTATAGCTGTGCAGATTCCTGCACTAGAACATTAGAATTATGATGTCTTTATGCAGTCGTACCTTGGAAGTCAAACAGCTTAGTTCTCGGACGTTTTGGCTCCTGAACGCCGCAAACCTGGAAGTGAGTGCTCTGGTTTGCAAACTATTTTTGGAAGCTGAACATCCGATGGGGCTTCCATGACTTCCGGTTGGCTGCAGCTTCCTGCCATGCTTTGGTTTCCGAACATTTCGGAAGTCGAAATGTACTTCCGGAACGGATTCCATTAGACTTCCGAGGTACGACTGTATATACAGTTCAGCGCTCTCATTGGTGTAACTTATTCTGGTCTTGCTACTCACGAGGAGGGGCAAGGCAATAAAGCCCCCACAACCCCCCCTCCAAAAAATATCCCATTACAGTGGTACTTCGGGTTAAGAACTTACCGTATTTTTTGCTCTATAAGACTCACTTTTCCCCTCCTAAAAAGTAAGGGGAAATGTGTGTGCGTCTTATGGAGCGAATGCAGGCTGCGCAGCTATCCCAGGAGCCAGAACAGCAAGAGGGATCGCTGCTTTCGCTGTGCAGCGATCCCTCTTGTTGTTCTGGCTTCTGAGATTCAGAATATTTTTTTTCTTGTTTTCCTCCTCCAAAAACTAGGTGTGTCTTATGGTCTGGTGCGTCTTATAGAGCGAAAAATGCGGTAATTCATTCTGGAGGTCCGTCCTTAACCTGAGGTACCACTTTAGCTAATAGGGCCTCCCGCTGCCGCCGCCACACGATTTCTGTTCTCATCCTAAAGCAAAAAGTTCTTAACCTGAGGTACTATTTCTGGGTTAGCGTTGTCCGTAACCTGAAGCGTCTGTAACCTGAGGTACCACTGTATTCTGTCAGCTTTATGCCTCCACGTAGATTTTGAGGCCGCAGCATCTACAAAAACGTGCCCCCCCCACCCCGGTCTTTTAAAAATGCAAACCAAGAGCTTTTGTAAGCAGGATTTGTCACCCAGCTCCACACACTGCGCTGCTGCAGAAATCACAGAACACACAGCCCTTGCTTTTTAAAAGGAGAAACCCCTCAGAGATAGGTCATCCAAGGAGCTCTCAATCTAATGAGACCTCAAGGTAGAAAAGATGGGGGGGAGTGGGAATCCCCCACCCCCAGGAGTTCCATCCATGCTCAGATTAAAGGCGAAGAGAGTCCTAAATGACAGTCCAGCGACTTTATTGCTGAGCCATGCAAGAAAACTGCAGTAATTTGAGCACGAAGCCCTGTTGGGTCTCCATTGCCCAAAGCCTTTTTGGGTTTGTTTGTTTTTTCTCCCTGCTGCAAAGCAGCCTATTAGGTAGGGACTTATTACCGCTGTTATTAACACTCCCTGGTTGCGGAACATTACAACGAATTGCCCATAATTAATTCGAGGAATCGGGACACGGCGCTACCTCACAACACAGGGGCGCGCGAGCCGGGGAAAGCGTTTAAGAGGCTCGGTTCAGAAATGGCCCCGAGGAAGCAATTTAAAAATGTGCAGATTCCTCTCCCGTCAGAATACTGCCAGATGCAGGCAATTTGCATCTCCTAAAATAACAGGCAGAATCAGCCAGAGTCCTACTTCCCAGTTCTGGGAAGGACAGATCGAGGTGGGGGGGGGGCAGCACGACTCCACAGGCGTAACCAGCACCCTGCACAACATCGCCCAGAATATTCTTCAGTGTGGTGGTTAGAGGTTTGGGCTAGGAGCCTAACGAAGGGGGGGGGCCTCTGGGCTAGATCCCTGCTTCGGTCACAAAGCTCGCTGAGTGACCCCTGTCCATGACTAAACTGCCTTACAGGGGGAAAGGCATGGAGAAAGAAGAGGCCCATTGCAAACTCTGAACTCACCGCACATCCCATATACAGTCGTACCTCGGAAGTCGAACGGAATCCGTTCCAGAAGTCCGTTCGACTTCCAAAACGTTCGGAAACCAAGGCACAGCTTCCGATTGGCTGCAGGAAGCTCCAATTGGCTTCAGGAACTTCCTGCAGCCAATCAGAAGCCACGTCGGACATTCAGGTTCCAAAGAACATTCACAAACCAGAACACTCATTTCCGGGTTTGTGGCATTCGGGAGCCCAAACATTTGACTCGCAAGTCGTTCGCGAACCAAGGTACGAATGTAGATGCGAAGTAAGATGAGGTTAAGTTCTTTCTACCATCTACCATATTTTCGCTCTATAAGACGCACTTTCTCCCCTCCAAAAATTAAGGGGAAATGTGTGCACGTCTTATGGAGCGAATGCAGGCTCCATGGCTTCAGCAATAGCAACGCAAAGCCTCCAAAGTGCAGTGGGAGCCGATCCCTCTTGCTCTCCTGGCTTTGCTTTGCTGGAGAGGCACTGCTCAGCTTTCTCTCTCTGCGCAGCGCCCCTTCAGTGAAGCGGTAGGAGAAATGGAAGGGGCTCCGTTTCTCCTGCAGCTTTGCTGAAGGGGTGCTGCGCAGAGAGGGAGACAATTCTTTTTTCTTGTTCTCCCCCTCTAAAACAAGGTGCGTCCTATGGTCGGGTGCGTCCTATAGAGCGAAAAATACAGTAAGACATTTTTATACCATCTTCCCACTGAACATTTCCAGGGCAGCGTACAATTGGGCTGTTTGCCAAGGGTGGGGAATCTGTGGCCGCCCCAATGTTGCCGGACTGCAACTCCCATCATCCCTCACCGCTGACCCTGTTGGCTGGGGCTGATGGGAGTTGGAGTCCCGAGGACCACAGGCTCTCCACCTCCGGCTTAAACAGGCACGGAAGCTCCTCTAGTGGGGTGTACTCTCTCTCACCCCAGGGTAGCCTCATCAGCTGCAGGGGTCTACAGCCTCACCAGGCACAGTTCGTAACAGGGCCTCCCACATTCGCCTTTCTGAGGAAGGGTCTGCCCTTACCCAGTACGACCAGGTTGGTGATGCCATCTTCGTTGCCCGAGGGGTACGCAGCGAACTCGCAGGCGTAGGTGCCCTCGTCAGCCATGCGCAGGGGGCCGATGATCAGGGTAGCGTCCTCCAGGGTCTGGGTCTTGAAGCGGATCCGCCCGCGCTCCGTCTCCAACGGGTAGCTGGGCTTGTGGTCCGGGTGGAAGACGGCCACATTCTGCTTCCTGCCCGCGGCTTCCTTCATCCAGGTGACCAGGCTGACCTTGATCTCGTTGCCCGTCGACACAAAGGTGCACGGCAGGGTGACTTCCTGCCCCAGGTAGCCCGTGACCTCATCCAGGACTTTCACCCTCTGGGCGATGGCAGCTGAAAGAAGGGAAACGGCTAGTTAAGTGACGGGCCCAGCCACGGTTTTAAAGCAGCTGGCGAACATCCCCTTGCCTTGATAGCCTCTTTGCTCCTCCCTCTTCATACCTCTCTGGGTTCTGGGAGACCAGTGGGGAAGGGAGCTGGTTGCAGGAGGAGGACTCATCTATGCCTCTTGGCCCCTACTCCTTTCCAGCCTCCTCTTCTGCCTCTAATTCTGGACTGCTCTCTGCCACAGACTCTTCCTGCTCACTAAACCCTGTTACCTCTTCAGCTTCCGACACCACCTCCTCCCAGTCTTCTCCCTCTGACCACTCAGCGTCATCCCACCACCACTCCCCGGACTCTGAGCCTTCTTTCCTTGGGGGGGGGGGTCCCTAGCTGGTGCCTCCACTGCTCTCTTGCCTCCTGCCAATCCATGAGACCTTCGGGTATAGGGTGGTATAGAAATAAAATTAATTATTAAATAAAAATATCGTGGTGATGAATGAAAACCAAAGAAGCTGAAGCCCAGTGCATATGAGACAGAAATTCTGTTAGTAAGAGGCTCTTGAACTCAGATAAAGGGTGTCCGGCCAGCTGTGGAAGGAGCTGCAATTCCCCCCCCCCAAAAAAAAGGATCACGTTTGCAGCTTGGAGCAGGGGGAGTTTCTCTTGGATCCAGTTCTGTCACTGGAAGCCCAAGTGGCCATCCAGCTGCCCAGCTACACCCCTCTCTGGACACAGATAACCTGGCTTGCATACCTTTCAAATGTTTAAAGTGTCTGCTCACATTGCATTGTCTAGTTACAGCTTTGTTAGGCAGGGTTGGGGAACCAGATATTGCTGGGAGTCCAACTTAGGGTTACCAGATGTCCCCGGTTCCTGGGAACAGTACGCGATTTGCAATTCTGTCCCCGGACAAATTCCGTCCCCGGAACGTCCCCAGATTTGCAAATCTGTTCCCGGGAAACGTGGCCGTGGCAGCCTCAGCAGTCCAGAACCAGTCTGTTAGCGCAGTTGGTTCTGGCTGGCTTCAGGAGCTGCTTGCTGCTCTCTGCCGTGGCACCCACCATTTTTCCTGCGCCACGGCAGCAAGCAGCTCCTGAAGCCAGCCAGAGCCAACTGCACTACCAGGCTGGCCCCTCCTGGGCAACGGCCGCCCGCCCGTGACTTCCAAGCCTCCCCTGATCTGTCAAAACAAAGGGGAAAGGGGAAGGAGATCGGGGAAGGCTTGGGAGTCATGGGCACATGGTGCGCCGTTGCCCAGTTTTTGAAAAAAACTGCACATTTATGTTTTGCAGGGTGCGAACGAAAGGCTTTGCACCTTTATACAATATGCATGTGTGCTTGGGCCCAGGGTCCTTTGCCTTACCATCCCCACTACTGACTCCTTGTTGCTACTCAGCTTAAAAAAAAAAAAGTGTCCCTGGATTCACTGAAAAAAATCTGGTAACCATAGTCCCACTCCCATCAGCACCTGCCAGCATGGCCCATGGTGAGGAATGATAGGAGCTGGGAGTCCAGCAACTCTGTAGACTCAGGGGTTTCCCCGTCCTTGCACTGTTATTCCCTCTGCTGCAGAGAGTGGCAACTTGGGCTGAGAGCCTCGCCTAACGCCTCCTTGGTGAGTGACTAGCGGAGACGAGATTCGAACCGGGGGTTTCCTCGCCATCTGGGAAGCATGTGAAAATTGACAATGCAATAAAGGAAGCCCAACGCCTTCCTGCCATTATCTAGAGGGGAAGGAGAAGTGGTGATGCAGATTTCAGGCGGTCCCCGGGAAGGGGGAGCAGCAAGCTGATGGGCAAACAGATGGAGGAGAAGCTTCGGCATCTGCAGACTGGCTTGTGGTTCTGCCTACAGTGAAATACTGCTGCATAATGCAGAACAAGCGGAGCTGGGCGGCAAAGAGAGGGAGAAAAAGAGCAAATGTGGTATCAGGTGCAGGATTCAGCTCCAAGGATTTGAAGCCTTAGTTTGAAGTGATAAGAGAGGCCTCACAGCCTGGGAGCATGTAGGTTGTGCCTGTGCAAAAGCCTCAGAAGGGAGTGGGGCTGTGCATAATTTTTGGGGAGAGGAATTGGATTTAGCTCCTTTCCCCTTTCCACAAAGTAAAATCATGCAAGTTTTGCTGGTTCGTATACAGTGGACACTCTGGTTGTGAACGTGATCCGTGCGGGATGCACGTTTGCAACCCGCAGCGTCCGCAACCCACAGCAGCACATCTGCGCACACGCAGGTTGTGATTTGACGCTTCTGCGCATGCGCGACTGCCGAAACCCGGAAGTAACCTGTTCCGGTTCTTCCGGGTTTCAGCTGTCCGTAACCCGAAAAAACACAGCCTGAAGCGTCTGTAACCTGAGGTATGACTGTACTTTCGACCAGCTTCCCCCAACGTGGTGCCCTTCTGGGTTTTTTGGACTGCAACCCCCATCAGTGGGGTATAGTTGTTTTTTAAAAAAAGATACAGCAAAACAGAACAAAAAAATTCTGCTCCAAGAAAATATGGATTCTGCAATCTGTCTCAAGTAGCCTATCCCAACCTGATGCCCTCCTTGCGTTTTGGACTACAACTCCCATCAGCCCCAGCTGGAGAAGAGGGGAGACAGGAGACAGAGATGAGGGCGGCTGCTGGAGAATCCAGGGAGTCTCCCCCTCCTGCTGCGACCAGCTCCCCTCCCTCAGGTCTCCCAGAACACACAGAGAAATGAAAAGAGCAGAGGAGAGATTGGTGGCGCACAGACACAGTCTCAGATTGCTTGGTGGGTGAACCCTGGAGAGGAGGAGACTTAGGCAGCTGTGGGAAATCAAGGACCTTCAGTCCTCGCAACTGCCTCATTGGGACGAGACCTCCTGAGAAGAGCTCTTGGCCTGTGCTGTTTTGGTTTCTCTGAATAAAGAGTTAAACTTTGCTGACACGTGATTCCTACTTCTGACACTAACTCCAGGTTTGTCCTCCTCATCAGGGGAGGCTAAAGGCTCAAAAGGGCATGGAGGATCTGTTCCCAGCTGAAAGTACTGCCATTACGGCGGTAACTCGGGTTAAGTACTTAATTCGTTCCGGAGGTCTGTTCTTAACCTGAAACTGTTCTTAACCCGAAGCACCACTTTAGCTGATAGGGCCTCCTGCTGCCGCTGTGCCGCCGCTGCACGATTTCTGTTCTCATCCTGAAGCAAAGTTCTTAACCTGAAGCACTATTTTTAGGTTAGCAGAGTCTGTAACTTGAAGTGTATGTAACCTGAAGCGTATGTAACCCAAGGTACCACTGAATATCGCCTCTGGTCATTATGTGACCACAGGAACAGCCACATTCAATGCCAGGGCAACACATGCCAGAGCATGGCTCAGCGTCTCAGGCCCATGTGACAGAGGCCCGCGCCAAACAGCTGCCACATCCACCCAACCAACCCAAAAGCACTTTGTGCACCGCATAAAAAAATCTGTGAGTAATATCTGATAGCCACCTCTTAATCATGGGGTTGCAATGGAAAGCCAGACAAGTCGGGCGGACTTGACTCGCCCTTCCAGAACAAGGTGGTGCGGCAGCAGCTGCCTCTGGCAGAACCACACGCACCGGGCCCACATGTGCAGGAAATGTGCCAACATTTTGCCCAGCTTGAGAGTTCTTCACACTCAAAAAGGCTAATTTCCTGACCGCAAGTCCAGAGGTAGCGTTATTATCAATCTAGGATGGGGTTGAAGGTTTGCAGCCTACGAAGGACTTGCTCACAAATTTATTGACAGCTGCACAAATTATGATAGCTAGGAAGTGGAAACAGCAAGGTGAATATAAAATGGAAGAATGGTATAAAGAGGTGTGGGATATAAGCTATTAACGATAATTTAACATGTGCCGTTAAGGTAAGATGGGGAATACGCAGGAGAAATGATTTTGAGGAGATATGGAGGGCGTTTGTAGAATTTGTACTGTTAAAACAGAAAGGGGTCAAACCATTGCAAGAGGTGTTGAAATTTGGGGAGGTTGGATAGTTACAATGGAATGGTCTTGGTGGAAGGGTGCACATTTTTATTCTTATTTATTTATGATTATTACTTTGTCAAAAAAAGAGGCTCATTTCACAACAGTCTAGGTTTGCATGCCAAATGCACAGATTCCTTTACATGAAAATTAATGTTATAAAGAGAGGAGGAGGAGGGAGGATGGAACTGTGCTGATAACATCACTACAAGCATTAGACATTGAAGAGATAATCACAACAAACACTCTTAAAAGCACCGCTGTTCTTTCCAGGAGTGGAAATATCCTAACCTTGCCAAGAATCCTGTCCCATCCTCCCTTTAGAACGGGTTGCTCAAGTCCCCAAGAGGCTAATTTATCAAGCAGCAGCCCGGTTCCTGGCGGAGGAAGGATGGGATATATATATATATATATATATATATATATATATATATAGTCTCTCAAACTTTCTCCAACACAGCCGGGGAGGTTAAAAATAAATAAATAAATAAGCAGATAAAACAAGTTTGACAACAGTATCTAAACACATACAATATTCCTGCTGCTGTATACAACCTTTAAGTCAGGGGTGGTGAACCTGTGACCCTCCAGATCAGGGATCAGCAACCTTTTTCAGCCGTGGGCCGGACTATATTTTGGTGAAAAAAACAACGAATTCCTATGCCCCACAAATAACCCAGAGATGCATTTTAAATGAAAGCACACATTCTACTCATGTAAAAACACGCTGATTCCTGGACCGTCCGCAGGCCGGGCTGAGAAGGCGACTGGGCCGCATCCGGCCCATGGGCCTTAGGTTGCCTACCCCTGCTCCAGATCCTGCCATATATGGGAACGGGGCCTTTTCTGTGGTGGCTCCCTATTTGTGGAATGCTCTCCCCAGAGAGGCTCGCCTGGCGCCATCACTACATCTTTAGGCACCAGGCAAAAACATTCCTTTTTGCCTGGGGCTTTGGCCATTGAACAAATCTATGACTGGTGGTATGGTCCATTCCCCCTCTCCCACCCGGTTGTTTTATTGCATTTTATTATCATACTATGCAAATTATGTTGTATTGGGCTAAGAAGTGGTATATAAATCAAATTAACAGCAACAACATCTGCATGTGGTTGGGAAGATTAAAAAAACTTGAACAGATCGGTCCCCTCCCACCCACTGAACATTTCCAAGGAACGTTCATAAAAATCCTAATTTGTACTGTTGTTGGCATCCGTCTGTCTCAACAGACAATGGAGTGCAACTCCAAGGATGAGGACAAATTGCTACATTAGTAGAACTGGAGTGACGTCCCTGGGGCGAAAGTCTGGGCAGTGTGTATGGAGGTCCTGGCCTGCCCTGATGACAAGACCACCGCCCTTGGCCCTGCTGATGGGGTCACAAATAATTCACTAAGAGGGAAGGTTAGGGGAGCTTTTACTGTTTGACGGACTATTGTATTTTAATACAGTGGTACCTCAGGTTAAGTACTTAATTCGTTCTGGAGGTCCATTCTTAACCTGAAACTGTTCTTAACCTGAAGCATGACTTTAGTTAATGGGGCCTCCCATTGTCACCGCCGGAGCACGATTTCTGTTCTCATCCTGAAGCAAAGTTCTTAACCCGAGGTACTATTTCTGGGTTAGCGGAGTCTGTAACCTCAAGCGTATGTAACCTGAAGCGTATGTAACCCAAGGTACCACTGTATACTGTTGTAAGCTGCCCAGAGTGGCTGGGGAAACCCAGCCAGATGGGTGGGGTGTAAATAATTAACTATTATTATTATTATTATTATTATTGGGAGTGGAACACTTTGACCGTGTATATACAGCCCAGCTGTAAGGCCCAAACTTGTGTGGCTGCACCACAGTGCCTCAACGCACATCCATGATTGGACAAAATGGAATCATCCCACAATACACTGCTCCGATACAGGTTCAAAAAGCAGGAACACTGCAGACCAGGGGTCAGGAACCTGCGTCCCTTCGGACATGGTTGGTTACAACTTCTGCAATCCTTGACCAATGGAGAGTTGGTGGCTCCCCATCCTGACTCCAGGAAGGATGCAAAACGGGGATTAAGCATGGAGAAAGGATGCTTCTGCCAGAAGGGGCAACTCTAAACCACTGCAAAACTAGCAAAAGGGGCTTGCTTCTGTTCTCTGCGCCGAAGCGGCGCTGCTGAATCACTGACTGTCAGATTCAGGTTAGCAGGAACCTTTTGAGAATCCCAGGCTGTCCAAGCACCACTCGGCAGACGAGGATCTCTTCCGACGGGCAGGCCATGAATAAGTAAAAGGAGGAGAGTGTGCAGTTTGCAAAGTGCTGCCACACTCTGCCCCTGGAGGGTGAAGCACACTCAAACGACACACACAGGCCAAGCAAGCCGCAGATGCATGCAGAGAGGGGACTCTTAGCACCAGCATTTGGGCTGCCTGGGTTACAATAGCAAATCGAGACATGCTCCATTTAACACACACTCCTGCGCCCATTTTGTTCAATGCACTCACTGGCTAAATGGCGAAAATGGATGCTTCCCCCAGGATGCAGTCACCAGAGAGAGAGAGAAATATAAGCAAACTTATAGACCCTTAAGGTAGCAATGTGTGCTTCAGCCCTCTGCACCCCGGGAGGGCGGCGTAGATGTGTACGAATGTGAACTTTACACTAATTCACCCAAAAAGCTAAACATCTACGTCAAGAGCACCTGTTGCAAAAGACCTAACTCCACGCTCTCACCAAAAGCCATGCACCACCAAATGAAGTCTGCCTCTTGCTGTTCATGTTTTGATTCTGCTTCTGGAGCGAAAAAGCTATACAGTGGTACCTTGGTTCTCGAACTTAATCCGTACCGGGAGTCCGTTCGACTCCAGAAACCATTCAAAAACCAAGGCGTAGCTTCCGATCAGCTGCAGGAGCATCCTGAACTCAAGCGGAAGAACGTCAGAAGTTCAGCTTCCGAAAAACGTTTGCAAACAGGAACACTTCTGGGTTTGCAACATTCGGGAGCTGCTTTGTTTGGAAGCCAAGCCGTTCGAGTACCAAGGTACCACTGTACAAGGCTTTGAATCCCTGTAAACACACACGTACCACACAAAATCACGAAATGTCCCAACCGTAGGGCTGGGCGATATCTGGTTTTCAACATCGCAACATATCACCAGCTAAACATCACAATATATATATCACAATGCCTGAAATAAGGATGGAGCTATGTAGAAGCATTGGCTGACTTCACGGTTTTTCCCACATTGTGATTTTTGCATAGCACGCACACGCAAATCATGATCCGCAATACATTGCCAGATCGAAAAATTAGGAAACTGATATTACGATACAGACTTCAAACCGGTTTTTGGGACAACCTACTGATACCTCGCCCAGACCTACCCAACACATCTGTTAAGTGGCAAGTAGATTACACCGGACTGCGTCCACACACTTTTGAAACTCAGCACACACACAGGCGCGCACACACCACAGCCACAGGGACTAGAAACTTAAAAAAAATAATATGCCAAGTTCATCATCAGATGCCAAAACCCCGCTCTGGCAGGTGACATGGGATCAACACAGCCCTGCTTATTCCCTTTCGAGGCACACAGCTCTCCCAAACTAAAATTAATCCCATAAAACTGGCTACCCTTGAATTACTCAGCACAACCTTTTGTCTCAAAAGAGTGAGATGAGCTATTCCAGGGAGGCTAGGGAGGAGAGACACAGGCTGCATTCGCAGTAATAATAGAAGCACTTAGTATTTACATTGCTCAAAGCACTTTGCATATATTATTATCTCCATAATCCTCACAATAAGCCTGTAGATAATACTGACCTATCATCCCCATATTGCAGTGGGGAGGGAGTGGGGGGGGGAGGACACCAAGGACCAGAAATGGCAGCTTCCCTAAGGTTACCCAGAGAGAGTTCATGGCCAGGCTGAGATTTCAACCAGGGACTTCCAGCTCATAACCATTATGGCTCCAACTAATGCTTAGCTTAGGTGTGCTTCGCGTTATTGTTTATGAAAGGATTTGACCGGGACGCTTTATGTGTTTCCTTAATAATATACTGGCAGGAATGAAATGCAACTCAACAGTTTGCTGCCCGCAAATGCTAAAATACCCATTTTTATAAGCTTCACCTGCCGCCACGGGCACTCCCTCCCCACCACCACCGACATGCCCAGCAGCGGACATGACACTTCTTTCTCTGCCCCCCACAAAAGACCATAAGCAGCGACAGGCCAGATGGAGAGTGTCTGGCTACAGCCTAACCACAAGAGCAGCATGGCACATATTGCAGAATAAAGGTGGAGGGGGTGGGTGGGAAGAGTTAAGGTGACCCAGTTTTACGGCAATCTAAAATAGGGATGGGGCCTGCGCCACATCATGGCCATATTCACACCAGGGCAGCAGATTTGGGAGGAACCGTTTCAGAGTGGCAAACTGTTTGGCATGTTATGTTTTCTGCCTCAAGACGGCAAAATGTCTTCAGCTATCGCACACTGGCAGGATTAAGCAAGGGTATCGGCTGGATACTTCAAGCCAGTGTTAGAAACTCACAGCGCTATTTTTTTCCCCCTAGAAAAAGAGATGCCGGAACTCACTACGAATGGCTTCCCTGTTCTCTTATAACAGCAGTGGTGCCCACCTGAGAGGTGTCGGAACAGAGTTCTGTCAACTTCCGGCTGAAAATAAGCCCTGGAAACTCATAGATATAGAAGGTAATCGCTAAAGGGGACCATAATTGCTGAACGTGGCACCCTAAACGCGGGTTATGGTGCTTACGCAACAATTTCCCCCAGCAAGGTTTATTCTTATTAATTTCATTTCGATACCACTTAATATTTTAAAGGAAAAATGTAGGGATCACATGGGATCCCTACAGAAAAAAATCTCAAAGTGGCTCACAACACATTAAAACATCAAATAAAACAACCCAGAATAAAACAAATTCAAGCTTCAAGGGAAACATATCAGATCCTTCTCTAAGTGCCATGTTGCTTTCTCCGTATTTATTTAACTGCTTAGTTTATAGAGCTGTCTCATAGCAAAAGGACTCTAGGAAGGCAGTGTGGGCTAGTGGTTAGAGTGTCGGACTCGCATCTGGGGGATGAGGGTTCAAATCCCCACTCAGTCCTGATGCTCACGGGGTGACCTTAGAGTCAGTCACAGCCTCTTGGAGTCAGTCCTTGGAGTCAGTCACACCCCACAGGGTCGTTGTGGGGATTAACTGAGGAAGGGGGCCTGAAACATGGGCTTCTTGGGAGACAAAGGTGGGATACGGATGCAATAAATGAGCTCTTCAGCTGACCTGCTTAAGAAAGCCGGAGGGGCCAGCCAGATGGAGATGACTGTCCCTAGCCTGACACACCCAGAGTTCTCCACGTGGTTGCAATTGGACCTGCGCCAGTCACAAAATGCGCCTGGCTAATTTCTAACACTGCTGCCAATACCTAATAGAGCAGCATAGAGAAGGACGACAAAGCCATCCCCTCCCTCTCCGAATCGGTGGTGTGTGTCTTTGAAATCGAAGGGGTGCAGGACTCTGCCCGTCTCGCAGGCTGCCTCCTGGGGAACTCTGCTTACATCTTGTACTACAACGTCCCACGTGGCTCAGGTATGTTGCAACACACATCCCGTTTTTGACCGGGGGCGGGGGGGACGACAAGCAACAAGGAAGTGTTCACCCCAGAGGCGGCACAAGATGCGTGTGTTGGAGAAGGGGAGTTGGGTATGGAACATTTCAACTAATAAGCTCTTCACACTTCACAGCCCAGCAGAAACAGGTTAGGGAAGCCATTTCCCACTCGTGCGGCTGTTATTAATCCCCCATTGCTTCCCTTCTAAATGCAGGCTGCAACCGGAACCCCACAGTCCTGGGTCCAAAAGCCATCCATCTCCCCACAGGCTGCCAGCCAAAAGATTTCAGCTCCATTTTGTGCCAGGGGGTGGGGAGGCGCATAGAGCCCCTGTTGACAAAAGCTGCCGGCGCGGTACATTTACCAGGGTCATATTTTATCAGTTTAGAACAATGGTTCGCATTATGGAGCTTTGTTACAAAGCAGTCTGGATGGAGGGAGAGGCAAGAGGAAAGGCAGGCGATGGAACAGTTCACAGCCACACAGACCGGGGCAGGGGGCAGGAGACGGGTTACCACACCAGAACCTGCCGGCCAGAACCTGAGCATCAGACAAAAAAATAATAAAAAAATTAGGAGGAAGCAAGAGAACCTGGTTTTTCCATTTTAGCTGAAAGATAGTGGCTGGAATCCAGAGAGCTACTTGAAAAAAGTCGCCGAGTTTCAAAAACAGATGACAGCAGCTACTCTGCTAAAAAAAGAGAAAGTTTTGAAAGTGCTTCATCGAGCGCACAAACCTGCAACAGTTCCTTCTCTCCACCTCCACCAAGCTGGCCTTATTCACACATCACTTCAAAGGGAAAACTAAGGTTTAAAATGTGAACACGCAGCACTGAAATCGCAGGCGATTTTTGCTCCTCCCGCAGTCCTGCCATGCTGCAAGCCTAGCCACAGTCTAGATTAGTGTTGCCTCCAAAACTGGGCTTGTGCTTGGTTTCCTTCAAACAAACCATGAGCAGTAAGCCCGGAACTAACCTTAGCTCCTCCTTATGGTTTGTTCAGAGCGAAAAAACCATGAGCTTGGGGTTGTGGGCATAATACTAAAGGAAGACAGTAGCTTAGTTCCCAGCAGTGTGACAGCACCTGAGATTTCACAAACAAACACCTGGCAAGCTGAACGTTCACATTTAAGTCATAATTTGGTTTCATGGTGGTTTAAAAAATGATGTGCAAACCAGGCGCTGGCTGCCCCACAGGATATAATGCAAGGGGAGATGTGGAAATGGGAGAGCAATGGGGATTGGGGAAGGATAAAGGATATTTGGGAGCAAGTCAGAACATACTGGTCCCATCACCTCCTGGCAAATAGAAGGGGAAGAAATGGAGGCAGTGAGAGATTTTACTTTCTTGGGCTCCATGATCACTGCAGATGGTAACAGCAGTCACAAAATTAAAAGACGCCTGCTTCTTGGGAGAAAAGCAATGACAAACCTAGACAGCGTCTTAAAAAGAAGACATCACCTTGTCGACAAAGGTCCGTATAGTAAAAGCTATGGTTTTCCCAGTAGTGATGTATGGAAGTGAGAGCTGGACCATAAAGAAGGCTGATCGCCGAAGAATTGATGCTTTTGAATTATGGTGCTGGAGGAGACTCTTGAGAGTCCCATGGACTGCAAGAAGATCAAACCTCTCCATCCTGAAGGAAATCAGCCCTGAGTGCTCACTGGAAGGACAGATCCTGAAGCTGAGGCTCCAATACTTTGGCTACCTCATGAGAAGAGAAGACTCCCTGGAAAAGACCTTGATGTTGGGAAAGATGGAGGGCACAAGGAGAAGGGGACGACAAAGGACGAGATGGCTGGATAGTATTCTTGAAGCTACCAGCATGAGTTTGACCAAACTGTGGGAGGCAGTGGAAGACAGGAGTGCCTGGTGTGCTCTGGTCCATGGGGTCACGAAGAGTCAGACACGACTAAACGACTAAACAACAACAACAGAACATACTTGTGGACTCAGTTATCAGCTATTGCACCTGCAAAATAACAGCTTGTATGGGGGGGGGGCTTTTTTGGAGGGGGAGGCATAGAAGAAAAAAACCCAAGTTCAAGGCCTCATGGAATGGGTGAGGAATGTGGCAGAAAAATAGAAGTACCACAAGACCCACCCACCCCAGTTTTGAAGTTCCTTTTTCCTGCATGCACATTCAGACACAGAAAGTCAGGAAGCCCCGTCAATCAGCAACAAGAGACAATGAGCTGGGGGTCTGAAAACACCTGTACCAGAGAACAGATAAGCTCAGAGGTTAACTTGCTGAGGTTCCCACAGTCTGTCTGCCCCCACCATTCAGACTGTCCTTTCTTCTTTTCTTTCTTTTTTTTAAAAAAACACACACATTTATTGTTCTTCTCCCTGCTACCCACAAACCATATCAGATGGTTTCCTGTTTGGCTTAGAAGATGCTTTTCAAAGCAGAGAGGAAAGAGAGAAGAGGGAGGGAGGGAGAGAGGGAGGGAGAGCACACAATGTGAAAAGCAAAGGCTTTTTTTATTAACAAAAAAAAATGGGAGCAGGCAGAGAGAAATCAGACACACATCGAGGACAGCTCCTCTGGTCCAGCACCAGCCTCCATCATTTTAAGATGGGGACAAACGAAAAATGGAAGCCATTGCTGACCTATGAACTGTGTCGTGATATATCCTACTGAGATCGTTCTTTCTGAGAACTCACATAAACCCTGCTGGTCGGAGGGTGGGGTTCTGTGCAGGGGGGGGGGGGATAAAAATCAGTCTGCATATTCAGTGCTTTGGCTGCATCTCCCATGCATTCTTATGCATACCTACATAGGAGAAAGTCCTGAAAAAAATTAATTCAGAAGATATCCATTTTGCAGCACCCTTTAAAAAGAGAGCGAAAGAAATTCCACCATCGTTTAAATTAGGGTAGCCTTGAATGTGAAAGACAAAATCCCTGGTTCCAGTCTCACCTCTGCCGCAAATTGCATTACTTGCAGGCCTTGAGATAAGCCACAGTGTTCTCACTTCCATCGCCTCATCTGCATTATGCAAATGCTGGTCTTGCACGGAGGATTTTGTAAGGATTACCGAAATAGTGCATGTTAAAGCACTTTGAACAGTTAAAAAGATGGGGGGAGCAAGTCGGTACCATGGTCAACTCAAGCCTTTCTGAACGAAATCGAATCCACTCGGGTTTTACATGCAGAGGCCTTGGGAGCTAAGCCAGTCCACCAGCCCCATAGGACATGGCAACCCAACCAGATGGCAAGGAGGGCTGCTGCAGCTGCTGGGCAGATGTGTGGTTGGCAGTTTGCAGGTTTCAGCCCCCAGCCCAAGCAGCTAAGAGAGACTGGGGCAAGAGAGATAACATCACAAAGAGGTGTGTTGTGTTGTGTTGTGTGTGTGTGTGTGTGTGTGTGTGTAAAAAAGCATGCACGTGCAAAGTAATACGGATTCATAACCTTGTCAAAGATGCCCCCACGGCCTTAAGAATAAATAACCTTTTAAAGTTTTTTACAAATCCACATCAGAAACATGATGGCAGATTGCACCAAGGGGAGAGAAAGATACCAGTTTTGTTCACAGCGCTGCGATAAAGCGGGGGGGGGGGGGGAGTTGCAAAATGAAGTATTTCTCACTGCTCAGACTTCCTTAGACCATATTCCCTGAACATATGTGCAAGGAGACAGAGACGAAACCCAAATTATTATTGGACTCCCTATCCGGCCTCACACGCCCATGCAACCCAATGCCAGTTTCGCTCCTGCTTCTTTAAAGGTTGTTTGCCCAGCATTTTAAAAAAAATGTTCCCAAGGCCTTTTGGATTAATGAGATGGTTGTGTAATTGCGTGACAGTTCCTCTCAAACCTGACCTGCCTTTAGGATGCTGTGGTGCTAACAAGCGGTTGCAGAAGCTCACAGACAGCAAAGCGGAAAAAAGGAAGGATTGGAAGAATCGACATGGGGTAGGTTCTGCAGAGGTGGTTCCTTCTGAACCTGGGACCTGCAAGGAAATCAACGTTGCCAGCGGTGTTAGAAATTAGCCAGGCACCAGGCGCTTTTTCTGATTGGCGCGGATCCAATTGCAACGACATGGAGAGCTCTGGATGCTGGGCTGGCGACTGGGGAAAGCAAAACAACACTTAGAGAAAGATCTGAAATATTTTTCCTTGAAGCTTGAAATTTGTTTTGTTCTGTATTGCTTCATTTGATGTTTTGATGCGTTGTAAACCGCATTGAGATTTGTTCTTTGAAATACAGTGGTACCTCAGGTTAAGTACTTAATTCGTTCTGGAGGGCCGTACTTAACCAGAAACTGTTCTTAACCTGAAGCACCACTTTAGCTAATGGGGCCTCTCGCTGCTGCTGTGCCGCCGGAGCATGATTTCTGTTCTCATCCTGAAGCAAAGTTCTTAACCCGAGGTACTATTTCTGGGTTAGCGGAGTCTGTAACCTGAAGTGTATGTAACCTGAAGCATATGTAACCCGAGGTACAAAGCAGTATACAAATGAAATGAAAAAAATAAAATAAATTCCACTGGGGAGAAAAAGAGTGCCTAGCCATTCCATTGTGGCAACCGTAACCTAGGTTTGGCAATTAGATTATATATCTGAGTTTCTAACCCTGGTTGTCAGTATACCATGGTCGTCTTTCCTGGCCTACTGAGAGAGAGAAGGTGGGCAGCCATCGTTAGTTTTGCAATTCTTCTTCGTGTAAGGAAAGGAAAGGCAGTCGGCGAAGGAAGGAGTTGGGAACGCCTAGGGCTCAATGAGGTATAGCAGATGAGAGCGCAACGCCCTAGGAGACAGGACATCCTGGGTTCGAATCCCCACTCAACCACAAAGCCTGCTGTGTGACTTTGGCCGGCCACCATTTCTCACCACGTGGTGAGAAACGTGGGGTGAGAGGTTCCGGGTGGCCGCCACCGTCGCTAGGCTATGACTAAAAGGCCTTTTCCCATACGGAAAAGGCCGGGACGAAAAATAAATATATATCAAAACAGGATTTTAGCTTAGTCACCACCACCTCTGCTGCCATCTGCCTGGCTCTTTCTCTCTCATCTTTCCATCCACACTGTCCTGCCTAGCCAAGCAAGTTAAGCAGAAGGGAAGGAAGCTCTAAAAAGAGAAAGGAGGACGAACGAGAGAAAGAAAAGGGAGGCAAGAGGTCACACGCAGCACACACAGCTGCCCGACAACAGGCCTCCAATTCCCAGAATCCCTGCAGAACAGCATTGTCTGTTAAACCGAGCCTTGCCTCAATTTGGAGGCGCCTGTGCTGCAATTCCCCCCCGGCTGGCCAAGAAAGCCTCTTTACTGCCTCAGTTTTGATGAGCAGAGTCGCTCATTTAGGGTGGGGAAAATTCGTGGCGGTGCAGTGGTTAGAGCGCCGGAGTGTGAGACCAGGGTTCAAATCCCCACTTGGCTGCAAAGCTCACGAGGCGAGCCGTGTTAGAATTGAGCCCGGCGCGTTTTACGACTGACGCAGGTCCACAATTGCGACCACAATGTGGAGATCTCTGGGTGCTGGGCTGGCGACGGGCATCTCCATCTGGCTGGCCCCTCTGGCAGAAGAGCTCATTTATATTCCACCTTTATTTCCAGGAAGTACAGGATTCAGGCCCCCTTCCTCAGTTAACCCCCACAACGACCCTGTGAGGTAGCTTCAGAGGCTGTGACTGACTCCAAGACCACCCAGTGAGCGTCAGGACTGAGTGGGGGTTTGAACCCTGATCTCCCAGGTCTGAGCTCGACATGCTAACCACCACCCCACACTGGCTCCCTAGAGTCCTTCTGCTATGGGGAAGCTATATAAGTGAAGTTAGTAAATATATACAGGGAAAGCAAGATGGATTGTTTTATTTGATGCTTTAACGTGTTACAAACTGTTTTGAATTTTTTTATTTAAAATATAAAGCAGTATATAAACAACAACAACAATAATAATAGTAATTGCAGGTGGGGGGCGGGGGCGCGCGCGTAGACATTCCCCTGTGGTGGCCATAACATTTAAGGTGCCTTTTGTTGAATACAGTGGTACCTCGGGTTACAGATGCTTCAGGTTACAGATGTTTCAGATTACAGACTCCGCTAACCCAGAAAAAGTACCTCGGGTTAAGAACTTTGCTTCAGGATGAGAACAGAAATCGCGTGGTGGTGGTGCGAGGCCCCATTAGCTAAAGTGGTACCTCAGGTTAAGAACAGTTTCAAGTTAAGAACAGACCTCCAGAACGAATTAAGTTCTTAACCTGACGTACCACTGTATCTGATATATGAGAGTTTCTGTGGGCGAATCACTGCCTCTCAGGGTTGCAGTGGGGATTAAATAAGTGAGAGAACCATGTACATACCACTTTGGGCTCCTAGGAGAAAAAGCGTGGGATATAAATTCAATAAATGAAATAAAATAAAACCTATGCAGCTTGGGACCAGGATACCTGAAAGATCGCCTCTCCCTTTATGTGCCCAGTCGATCACTGCTCTCTGCAGGCGACGGCCTCCTGCAAAGGCCATCCTACCAGGAGGTTTGTTCTTGCACGTCAAATGAATTCCAACCCTCTGGAATTCCTTCCCCTTCAATGTTCGACAGACTCCGTTGTCTTTTCAGCACCTGCCAAAACCTTCCTCTTTTAACAAGCCTTAGAAGCTGAGGTCTTTCGCAGTCTGCATTCTGGACTGGAAGTGGTTTTTTTTTAAAAAAAGAAGTTGTTACTCTTTCATCACTTGTTGTTTGCTGCCCTGGGCCACATTTGGAGAGGAAGGTTGGTGTATAAATTCAACACATAAATCAAATCTTACCACCGCCACACCCCAGTGCTCTGGCGTGGCATAGTTAGACACAAGGGGTCTTTCCGAACCCAAAATGTGAAAAATGAGGTAGTTGCTGTCCTGCAAAAAAAGGGCTCTGTCACCTGAAGCGTTTGTTCCACCAGCTCCGGGGAAAAGTGGTGCTGACATGTGCCATTAACTGTACTTTGGGGTTCCTAAAACACCAGAGCCGTGTTAAAAGGAAACATCAGAAGAAGAAGAAGAAGAAGAGTTTGGATTTGATACCCTGCTTTATCACTACCCAAAGGAGTCTCAAAGCGGCTAACATTCTCCTTTCCCTTCCTCCCCCACAACAAACACTCTGTGAGGTGAGTGGGGCTGAGAGACTTCAGAGAAGTGTGACTAGCCCAAGGTCACCCAGCAGCTGCATGTGGAGGAGTGGGGAATCGAACCCAGTTCACCAGATTACGAGTCCACCACTCTTAACCACCACACCACACTGACTCTCTCATCAGCAACTTCCACGCTGCTGAGGTAACTTTGGAAAAGGCCCTCTGTCAGTGCAGGTTCAAAATGGCTCCAATGGTTCAACTTGATCAATTCTATTACTAAGAATGCTGTGCGATGAACACATTTCTGGCTTCAAACAGGAAAATTACAGGCCACCCCAAAACCTTGACCTCACCTTGGTCCCTAAGCAGGCTGTGCTCATATGCAGCCGCCCTTCCAAAAGTCTTCACCTAATTAAGTCCAGATTTTAATCCAGCACCTGCGCCACACAAATCTGAATCCCAAAACCCTGAGTTAAATATTCAAATAAGTAACTCTGCATTGAAGTGGGATAATTCATGCAAAATAAGTACTCCCGCCCCAAAGTCACAGGCAGAGCCAAGGTGCTACTGGGGTCCTTCACATCCTCCTAAGCTCTCCTTCTGGGTTTGAGTCCTGGTTTAAGCAGACTTTTAGAAAGGGAAAGCTTTCATAAGCATTTCTGAACCACTCCTCTGCTTGTCAGCCCTTCAAGGTAGCAAAATTTATATATACGCTGCAGCATGAAACAATAAAGAACAGGATGAATTAGTGAGCACAACACGGCACAAAGCAAACCTCAAGTGAAAATGAAGAGAGCGAGCCAGGAACAAACAAAGTCAAAGCCAAAAGCCTGGCGGAATAACATAATTGTAACCGCACAGCGAAATAATAATAATAATAATAACCTAAGCCAGGGATGTCCAACCAGTTGATCGCGATCTACCGGTCGATCGCTGGGTGCTCCCGGTCAATCGCGTGATCCTGATGGATCGCCGAAAAAGAAGAAAAAAGCTCAACAACTTTGGTCAATCCAATGGGTAGAACACTGCCAGTGTTTTTATAGTGGGAGTAGACCACAGTCTCTTGGAAGTTGGACTTCCCTGACCTAAGCCACTGGGGTTCAACCAGACCTGGTATTGACAGTAGCGCTACCGCCATGCAAACACATGGGGAGAGAGAAGTGTTCAAAATTAGCCAGGCGCCAGGCGCATTTTGCACCTAGCTTTTGACCACTTGCAACCAAGTGAAGATGCCTGGGAGCCAGGATGGATGGTGCCTGACATCTCCACCATCTGGTGGAGGATCATTGGATCTGGCCTGTTTTCACACACTAATAGCCCATCCTGTAGAATTCTATCAGTTATATTCCATCTGCACAATCGGAATGAATTTCTGGAACCAAAATGCCTTTCCTGTGCAGCCTGAGCAGGAGCAGTCGCCTTTAAGAAAAGGAGGCTGGAAAAGGCCAATATTTATGTGGACTATCCCTGGATCAAGTGACTTTTCTTCTTTAAGTTCCCAAAGTTCTTAAACTAGCTCAAGGTTGTCATCTGAACTAGCCAGATGCTTAACTGACAGTCAATCATAATCTACCATTTGAAAAATAAGACTTTAGAGCTGTCTTGTCCCAAAATGGCAACTAGACATTCCGTTTCGGCCACTGTAACCTTGGTTTAAGGAGCCATTTGGCACCTAGCTTATATATCTGAGTTTCTAACACTGATTAAAGCCTGGCATCAACAGCAACACCATTGCCATGCAAACACATGGTGTGTGTGTGTGTGAGAGAGAGAGAGAGAGAGAGATGGGTTGCCAAGCATTTTGGGGTTAAAGAGAGGTTGTGGTCTGGAAATTGGGTATCGGTGCCATAAGCCATACTGTCAATGCACTCCTGGTTCTGTGTCGCCAACAACTGCACTTCTAATGTTGGAGTGACATGAAACCAAAGCCTCTGTAACAAGCAGGCATGTTGTGTCTACTCTCCACACAAACACACACACCTCAAAAATACCCCAAAGGGAACACGTTTTCAAGGCCACTGAAATTATACCTTTCGAAACCAAATTCCTCATTTTTGCAAAATGTTGAAATACACACCTAGCCTATCAGTTCACATCTCTGCAAGCTTGGCTAGGTTTCTGAAGCGAAGCAACGATCTTCCAGAGGTCACACGCTGTGCCAAATCGTAAAAAAATCCCTGCTGTACATGGAACACAAACTTCTTTAAGAGACAGCTTTGATTTGTTGAGGTGGGTACACAATGCACTCATGTTCGAAGTGGAATTCTTAGGCCTCTTAGAGAGGGAAAGGGCTGGGGGGTGGGATGCAACTAAGGCTGAACCTAAATTTGTCATTATTTGGGAACTTTTCTGCAGTATTGAAAAAAGGACATCTCCTTTCTGGCACCCCTCGCTAAAAGAAAATTTAAAGTGTTTCCCTATTAATTTTAAAGTTGACCCTATAGCCAAACCTTACTGGATGTGGTGAACCACACAATTAAAAAAAAATGAATTCTGGTCAAGCTGTCACATGAGCAGTGCCAAAGTATCATCTTAGAATCATAGAGTCAGAAGGGACCCCAAGGGTCATCTAGCCGAACCCCCTGCAATGTAGGAATCTTTTGCCCCACATGGGGCTCGAACCCACAACCCTGAAACTGAGAGTCTCGTGCTCTATTGACTGAGCTAGCTTGTTTGTGAAATGTGTGGCAAACTCATCAATTAAGCAGGATAGCCCACACAACCGATTCAAGAAGGAAAAAGCAGCAGCTACAACAGCCCTGGGCAATACTGAACTAGGTGACTGTACACAACACACACACACACACACACACACACACACACGAGCCAAACCTGGTAAATATTCCACGCAACACTACTATGTGCATCTGCTGGCAAATAGATAAAGTCATAATCAGATGCAGAATGGTAGACAAGATGGACCAAAGCTTTGCCCCAATGTGGCAGCCCTTGTGTCCTTACTCGAAGGATAGTTTTAAAAATAGACCGTAATTATGTTCCTCTGTGTTCCAGTATAAAGCCAGAGAAGAAAGCTCCGGGCTGGTTTCGCCAGACAATTCCACTCTGAAAGAAAGATTTTGCTAAGGAAACAGACAAGCCACAGTTCGGCTTTTATAAAAATAGTCGCAGGGTAACAAAGCCCCCACTCCTCCGTGCTCTCCTCCCGGCTGGCAGCTTCCACATTCTGAAGGGGTTTTTCTTTTCTTTTCCGCTGTGTTTTGTTTTAAGAAGCCCATCCCACCCTAGGACAATTATCCCAGGGAGCCAAGCGCACAGGCCTGTGCCCCTAATGGGAAGCGACATTCCCGTCCGTAGCCCCACGCCGCAGTCAGGGCAATTCGGAGAGCGTGAATGAAGTTCCCCCTAATTTAATAAGAAAACAGATCGAGCGTAAGGCAGGAGCATTAAAAATTCAGCTTTCGCATGGGGCTGGGTGGGTTTTAAAAAGAGGGCAAAAAGGGGAGATGCGGGAACAAGCAACCCTCAAGGATGTGGGTATATCGAAGAACGCACTTTTCGCAAGCAGCTATAAATAGACAGTCCTACATTTTAAGCCACAGATACTTTCGGTGGAGTTCAGAGAGCAGGGTCGTGAGCCTCGCACAATTCTGCAGAAGCAGAGAATGGGGATATTGGCCGCAGAGTTCAGGTTTCAGCGACGAGAACCCTGCAAGCTTCTCGAACTCGTGCCTTATGCGAGTCGGCAACACGTGCTGCGATTCTCCGAAGACGAAGCCAGGGTTCAGCACTATGCATAGCCTTCCGCTGCTCCTTGCTGGTTGAATCAAACCGGAATAAGTTGTTCAGAGACAGATGTTGAAGAAACCTGTGCATAAATCTGCATGCGTTTACCCAAGCTGCACAATATGGCTTTTTAAAACCAATTTTAAAGGTACGAAATACACCCAGCCCAGCCCAAGCCATGCAACTACAGGAAAAGTACTACATTCAAAGTTGTTCAAAGTTTCCCAAGCCTCGTCCCTTCTCCCCATGCCCCACTGCGCACCACACACCCTGAATCGGCCAAACATTGCTTTGCAACAACTTTGAGACCAACCATTTGATGAATTTGGCAGGATTAACCACATAATATACTTGGGCATCTCAGCCCATATTTCTCAGTTTTGCTATTCAAATCATAGAATTGTAGAGTTGGAAGGGACCCTGAGGGTCATCTAATCCAACCCCCTGCTATGCAGGAATATGCAGCTGTCCCGTACGGGGATCGAACCTGCAACCTTGGCATCATCAGTGGCACGTTCTAACCAACTGAGCTATCCAAGCTTTGTTGTTGTTTAGTCGTGTCTGACTCTTCGTGACCCCCTGGACCAGAGCACGCCAGGCACTCCTGTCTTCCACTGCCTCCTGCAGTTTGGTCAAACTCATGCTGGTAGCTTTGAGAACACTGTCCAACCATCTCGTCCTCTGTCGTCCCCTTCTCCTTGTGCCCTGCATCTTTCACAACATCAGGATCTTTTCCAGGGAGTCTTCTCTTCTCATGAGGTGGCCAAAGTATTGGAGTCTCAGCTTCAGGATCTGTCCTTCCAGTGAGCACTCAGGGCTGATTTCCCTAAGAATGGATAGGTTTGATCTTCCTCCAGTCCATGGGACTCTCAAGAGTCTCCAAGCTACATTCCCTCAATTTCAGGAATCCAGATCAACAGCATGTTATCATGCGTATGGAAGTGGGGTGAGAGTTATGATTCTGTCTTCCCTTTCCCATCTTGCAGACTAACCTAATATCTGTCCCTGTGGGGTGAAGCCACAGCATGCCACGCTGGAAGTAGCAGGGGCACCCCAAAAGGTGAAGTTGCTTACAAGACTGGGCAATGCATATTCTGCAATTCAAAACACACACACACACACACACACACACACACACACACACTGCTAGGTACACAATACGTCTTCCAGAGAATCCAAACGTTCATGTTAGGAATGCATCAGGTTTTAATCCTTAAGGCTACAAAAGATGGTCTTGAAAGTATTGCAGCTAACGTCTGATGCAATCTCAGAAACCAGATAAGACTGCCAGCGATTGGGGTGGGTGTGGAAAGGGCACAACACACACAGCATTTCCAAGCGTATCTTGCAAACTTAGCTCATATTCTCAGCGTGTGGAATTCTAGATGCGTTCTGCACTTGCACAGAACAGCAATGTGCTATGAAATGTCCTCTGCCTCTGGTCAACAGCTGCCTGTTCATCAGAGCCCAGAGAGCCTACTGAGACAGCATCTTCTGCAAAACCCAAGTCCCCACGGTGCTCAATCCAAATACAAATCCAGCATCACCCACCAGACTACCCTGGTTATCTTAACTCAAAGATCTAATCAGGCTGTTTAGAGGTATTCGAGACCAATACCTCTACCCTCAGAAATCATGCTCTTCTGAATGCCAGTTGCAGTGAATCACAAGCAGGGAGAATACTCATGAACTGCTTATTATGGGCTTCCCGAAGGCATCTGGTCGGCCACTGGACTGTGCGGACATTTAGTCTGATCTCGCACATTTCTCATGTCCTTAGGAGCTGCACAGTATGTCAATGTATCAGCCGCACAAAATTTGCGCAGGGGCCAAATTTAATAGGCAGGTTTGTGTAACAGAGGAAGCTGCCTTATAACAAGTCAGGTCACTGGTGCATCTAACTCAGTACTGTCAACACAGACTGGCAGCAGCTCTCCAGCCTTCCCATGGGGATTCCTTCCCAGGGATTACACCTGGGGCATTTTACATGCTAAGTACAGTCATACCTTGGTTCTTGAACACCTTGATACTCGTATGTTTTGGCTCCTGAACGCCGCAAACCCGGAAATAAGTGTTCCGGTTTGCGAACATTTTTCAAAAGCTGAACATCCAACGCGGCTTCTACTTGAGTGCAGGAAGCTCCTGAAGCTGATCGGAAGCCATGCCTTGGTTTTCGAACAGTTTCAGGAGTCGAACAGACTCCCGGAATGGTTTAAGCTTGACAACCAAGGTACCACTGTATATTGTTCTGCCACTGCGCTATGGTCTTTCCTAATGAGAACATTCATTTATCTTTTGATGACATTTCATATGTCGTGCTATTGTAATAAGGAACGATAAAGAGAACTGAGGAAATGTTAAAGCTTATCTCTCTCCTAGAACGAACAGCAGGGTTTTATCTCAATTGTTTCCTCATTGTGTCCAGAAAAGGCGAATATATCGGTGATGTGCAAACCCATTTAAACTTGAAAGATAGAAAAATAAGATTCAGAAAGTAAAGAACTTCCAATTCTTCATCTGTCCGCTGTATAAAAACAATATTCACTTCGTCCAATTTAATATAACACCCCTCTTTTCTATTCTTTCTTTCTCTTTCCTTCTATTATTTTTCTCCCCACACCTTTTTTGTGTTTTTATGGTGTATATATATAAAAGTCTTGGTTTGGTTTAAAAAAGGGAAGTTATTAAGTTTTTTATTTTTCTCTATAAAAAGGTAAAGGTACCCCTGCCCGTACGGGCCAGTCTTGACAGACTCTAGGGTTGTGCGCCCATCTCACTCAAGAGGCCGGGGGCCAGCGCTGCCCGGAGACACTTCCGGGTCACGTGGCCAGCGTGACAAAGCCGCATCTGGCGAGCCAGCGCAGCACACGGAAACGCCGTTTACCTCCCCGCCAGTAAGCGGTCCCTATTTATCTACTTGCACCCGGGGGTGCTTTCGAACTGCTAGGTTGGCAGGCGCTGGGACTGAGCAATGGGAGCGCACCCCGCCGCGGGGATTCGAACTGCCGACCTTTCGATTGGCAAGCCCTAGGCGCTGAGGCTTTTACCCACAGCGCCACCCACATCCCCCTATTTTTCTCTATAAACCTTACTAAAAAATTAAAATGCAACCCTATTTAAACTTAACGATTCTGATCAATTTGTTTTGCACGGCAAAACAATGAGTCAAGTGAAAATGAATAAATGGTGGGCCAATAGCGCCCACTCTAAGCACAATGCTGCCCCCCCCCCAAAAAAATCTTAAGTGTTCCCACAAGTCTAGGACAAGCAGACACATCCAAGACTGCGCGGAGATGCCCAGGAACACGAAGCATCAAGCCTGCATCTCCCCCTCCCCAGAGGAGTCAGATCTTCCTGAGCTGACTGGAGAGGACAGGAGCCATGGCTGCAAAGTGAACAAGCCACTTCCAGCTGGGTTCCGCAGCGCCTCGGCAAAGCAGCAGTCAGCCGCCTTGGTGCTGCTGCCCCCACCGCCCACCCAAAGCCAGCATGTGGCAGCTGCCACGGGAGCGCGGCGGAGGGTGGCGAATGAGGGCAGCAGCCTGACGGAGTCGCAAGCGTCGGGCAAGCGGACAGCGAGCGGCTCGCTTCGTGTCCCGGGGCAGGATGGAGACGAACGGCCGGTGCGAAGACAGGGCTGCAACTTGGTTCAGGATCAAGAGTTCAAGCACGCCGGGGACAGACTAAGTCCAGAGACTGAGCTAGGAAACAGGAGTCCTGCTTTAGCACAAGTCAAGATCATAGCTACTGGAAAAAAGAGAGACAAAGAATAGATGGGTGGAACAAAACAACAACAACGGTGGGAGGCTGTCAAAACCCAAGCGCTGCCTGACTTGTTTTTAGTTCTGCTCTACACCCAGTCTCCAAAAATCCTTTGCCAATTCACCGCTTGACAGCAGGACGCAGCTCCTCCTCCCTGTCTCGACTCCATACCTCAGCATGACAAAAAGGCAAGGTAGGAAAGTGTTGTCGTTTTTTTCACAAAAACCCAAATTATTCAGCATTTTTCTACATGCCGTGCAGCGCAGACGTGGGGTATCGCATTAAGTGGCTGTGCGAAACACTGTAAGGTCGTCAAACTCACAAGATCGTTATTGCTTTAAATAGTTTATAATTCTTTAAAACAACAACAGCCAGGAATTCCTGTAGTGAATCACTCTTTCTGCAGAATGACCACAAAGCTTCAGTGTCCTTTAAAGCAATAGAAAAATATAAACCCATCTCTCCCAGGTGGAAACTGTTTTCAACAATTTTGTCTCCAATTGGTGTAAATCAGCAGTGGGGAATCTCTGCTCCCTGAGCCATTTCTGGCCTGTCACAGAGTCCAATTTGGCCTGTAAGACCATTTTCCCCAAACCATGTCCACTTGCCCATCAGCTGACATCACTGGTGGAAGGAGAGGGTTTAATCCTGTATTGGTTGCAAACCCTGTTCCCAGTAGGAGGGGCAGGGATTAAAGCCCTTTGCAAAAGTGCTATTTGAAGCAGCTGACACTTCTCCTTTAAGTGTGCAGTGGCAGCAGCCGGCATGCCAACTCACTTAAAGGAGAAAAGCAAGCTGCTTCAAATTGCACTTTTGCAAAGCGCTTTGAGGCAGCCCCTGCACTCCCATTTCAGCCTCCAGAGGGCTCTCTTAAAACCTGCACTGCCCTTTTAAATCCCCAAGAATGAGGACTTGAAACAGAGGAGAGGGGGGTGAGACTTGGAAAACTACACAAGGGATTTTGACAGATGGGCTCCCCTATCCATTTTCATTTGGGAATAAAAGAGAACAAGTTTGATGAAACTACCAGCTCACCATACCACTTAGATTAGAACACAACACTTTTACCAACGCTAGCCATTTCCCCAGCTTTAAGGAAAGCGGATGTGGTACGTAAATGTCGAAAATGGAGCCAGCTCTTCTCTATCACTGCCATACATTTCTTTGCCCAGAAGCTGGGGAAGGAAAAAGAAGCAGGGTGTGAAGCTACAATTCAAATGAATCACAATTCTGAGTTATCTAAGAACAGCGTCCTAATCGCAGAAGACGTCCCGGGGGTGGAAGACAGCAGCCTGACAACGCTGATCTACTCTGGCGTGCTAGCTGAAGCACCAAAGACTTGCACCGAAAGGTGAAAAGGAAAAGGCAGAGGGAAATTCCAAGAGTTGTTGTAGGGCAGGCATGTCCAAAATCCGTTTCGGGGGCCTAATCCGGCCCGCCAGTCGGTTTAATCCAGCCCCTGTGGCAGTTTATTTCCTGAGGTAAAATCCTAAAAAAAGCTCAACTATTTCGGTCGGCCCTTTGGAAGGCCATCACGTATGTTCACTTCATCAAATCTGGCCCTCTTTGAAAAGTTTGGACACTCCTGTTGTAGAGCATATACAGAGCCAGAAAAGGTCTTTATGTTAATTTCAGCCTGATCTCCCTCAAGGACTTCATGCCTGAGAAGGTCCACTACCCCTGATGGCAGTAAGTGTCCAAGCCAAATGTTCTCACCCAGCAAGCTACTGCATCTGAAAGAGTCGTCTTCTGCAGAAGGGAACTGCTAACACATGCATGAAGGGCAAATATGCCAGCCCCTTCAGCTTCAACACATGCCTGCCAAGACAGAGGCAGCTGTCACTTCTGCCAGAAAGGAGAAAAGGACCCCCCCCAACTTGGCAGGTGCTGCCAAGACAAGGTTCCTGCTGCTCCGAACATAAGCAGCGGTGTTGGCCCTCTCACTGCGAAGGAACAGCGTGGGGCTTTGGGTTTCGTTGCACTAAACTCTGAAGGCAAGGCTTCAGAGCCAGTATGGTGTAGTGGTTAAGAGCAGTAGTCTTGTAATCTGGGGAACCGGGTTCGTGTCTCCGCTCCTCCACATGCAGCTGCTGGGTGACCTTGGGCCAGTCACACTTCTTTGAAGTCTCTCAGCCCCACTCACCTCACAGAGTGTTTGTTGTGGGGGAGGAAGGGAAAGGAGAATGTTAGCCGCTTTGAGACTCCTTAAAGGGAGTGAAAGGTGGGATATCAAATCCAAACTCTTCTTCTTCTTCTTCTTCTTCTTCTTTTTTTTTTTTTGAATGGCAAACTGCCACATGCAGCGCCTTACTTGGATGTGTCTGGAGTCTTGGAAGCTTGACTACCCTACGTTCTCCTACAAATGGACCTTGAGCTTGTTTGGAGGTTCTAGCAGGGGAGCGCAGCTATCGTATACCCTTGACCGAAGAACGGTACACTCCTTCTATCTGGGATGGTCGTCCTCTTCCACCGAGTGCGCAGCTTCGGGAGGGACGCACATGGAGCGGTGAGGGAGGAAGGGGACACCCGCCTAGCCAGCCAGATCAGCCGAATCAACCCTGGCGATCAATGGGGTGACAGATGTCGCAGCCAGATCGCCCTCACATCCTTCTTCTTCTTCTTCTAACCCAAGGCTTGCTAAGTACCAAAAGCCTTCACAGGTGCCAAGATGTCAATGGGAACCAGCTTGGTGACCGCTAAACTTCAGTAAATGAAGGTACATTACCTCACATTCATCCTGTTACCTGTGTATTTCCTACCTCTCTACACCAACCTCCCAACCTGTCATCCTCCAGATGTTGCTGGACTCCAATTCCCAACAGCCCCAGCCAGCATGGCCAATGGTCAGGGATGATGGGAGATGGAGTCCAACAACAACAACAAAATTTGAAGGGAATGGCCTAATTCCACCTCCACCTCCCCTTCCTTTTCAGATTGCTCCCCATCTCATTCCTGCTCCAGCTCCATCTTCCCTCTCTCTTCCAGCTTTTGTCTGTGGATTAAGAAATATTTCTTCAGCCACAAATCCCCTTCGCGGGGGAAGGCCTTGCAGACCACAGGTTTAATCAATTTGCATCCACACAAGAGCTGCAGATTTATCACCCCAAAGGTCAGCGCGAGTAGGAGCGCAACCACGGTCCTCAAAGCTCGGACCCCTGAAATTTGCAAGGTCATTCTGCCGGGGAAACAGCTCACTAGGCCTTTTGCTTACGGGAGAGAAACCGGGCTAGATGCTGCTGAGAAGAAGAACACGGGCGTCAAGAGACGATCAATACGGCTTAGCCACAGACCAAGCGTCCCTTGAGGGGATGGATTTTTACATATCTTAATATACATGCAAATTATCTGGGAGAATTAACTAGGTCACCCTACCACCACTACCGTTGCAGGCTGAAATAAAGAAAGACTTTGCGTGCACGTGTGTACAAACAACAGGAGACATATACAGGAGAAATCTGGAGCTGGGGGCAGGGAGGGAGGGAGGGAGGGAGCCAAGGGCAGAGCCTAAAGTGCTGTTTGATGTTCAGCTGCATGCAAACAAAGCGGTTAAATGGAGCAAGCTGCAGGGAGGGTATTTTAGAGGGCGGGAGCACGGAACAACCTCCCAGCTATCAAGCCCCACGTCCAGGGGAAAAATGGTAAACAACCCAAGCAAGGAGCAGCCAAGGCAGATCTTAAATGACAACCCAAAGAACTAGGCAGGTGAGAGAAAGAGGCTGAGGGGGCAGGCGTCCTTCAGGGTCTGGGAAGGAACGTGCAGAGAGCTCTCAAGCTTGTGCCTCTCTGTCTCCCCGCCTCCCTCAGCACCTCCAGTCCTCCTACCCATCCACCCAGACCCCCTGGAAAAGAGCAGAGGAAACCGATCAGATCAGAGGAAGAAAAGAGGCTTCGCAAGGTCACGCCTCCAGAACGCTCGAGTCAATCTTTCTGCAAATCGCACGGAGCACGAACAAGCTGCCGTTTCTGGAAAACCTGAGGCCGTTTTGCTTTATTAAATGCCTTTTTCAGATTTAAAAGATGATAAGCTGGTGTACTGTTGCAAAGAGAACAGAGGCATCCGTTCGGCCAAGGAGGGTGGGACCTGTAGCCCAACAACACCTGAAGGGTCACAGGTCCGCCACCCCAAACCTTTAGCTATGTGCCCCATCTTTACGGAGTTACAAATACAGAGAGAATGAGAATAAGTTTCCTTGTTTGCTTTGCAACTTCAGCCGCAGTCCGCATACTTTAAGGAGTGAGGCTCTTGTGTGGGGCAACTTTCTGAGAACACAATCCGAAACACCTTCTTTAGGCTTTTGAAAACGTATAGCAATACTCCTGAACCACCGCTAACACCTCGTTCAGATCACAAACAGAGTATACAGTGGTACCTCGGGTTACATACGCATCAGGTTACATACTCTGCAGGTTACAGACTCCGCTAACCCAGAAATAGTACCTCGGGTTAAGAACTTTGCTTCAGGATGAGAACAGAAATCGTGCTTCGGCAGCGCGGTGGCAGCAGGAAGCCCCATTAGCTAAAGTGGTGCTTCAGGTTAAGAACAGTTTCAGGTTAAGAACGGACCTCTGGAACGAATTAAGTACTTAACCCAAGGTACCACTGTACTTAGCACATGAAAGGGAAGAAAATAAAGTAGGGTCACGGTGGCAGGGCCTCCCATACTTCCCTATGTTCAGCCAAAGGGCTGTGCAGTGGTTCATCATTTCTGCTTTTGCAAGCCTCCAAGTGGACTCCCATTCATGAACTTGAATATTAAAACAAGTTTTCCTCTGTTGTCTTTTGGGTGCCTCCCGAAGACTTTCCCCTTTCAACAACAAGCCTTTTAAGTTGAGGCCCTTCCCTGTCTGCATCTGCACCAGAATGGTTTTTAAGATGCTTCATTACTAGTTGTTTGCTGCCCTGGGCCCTTTCAGGAGGGAAGAATATAAATTTAATTAATAATCACCATGCCGTAATAACATGCTGGTGTTTAAAGCCCTAAATGACTCAGGCACCAAATACAGTGGTGCCCCGCAAGACGAATGTCTCGCAAGACGGAAAACTCGCTAGACGAAAGAGTTTTCCGTTTTGGAGGTGCCTCGCAAAACGAATCTGCTATGGGCTTGCTTCGCAAGACGAAAATGTCTTGCGAGTTCTTTTTTTTCCTTTCGCCCCTCTTTTGCTAAGTCGCTAAGCCGCTTATCTGCTTATCCGATAAGCTGATAAGCTGCTAAAAGCCGCTAAAAGCCGCTAAAAGCCGCTAATAGCGCTAATCCGCTAATCCCATCAATGGGCTTGCTTCGCAAGACGAAAAAACCGCTAGACGAAGAGACTCCCAGAACGGATTCTTTTCGTCTTGCGAGGCACCACTGTACTTAAAAGAATGCCTCCCTCCCTAAAGACCCCCTTGGGTGCCACAATTGGTCAAGTGGTTTGGAGTGATGGTTGCCCAGGATAGGGGCATTGTTTGTGGCAGCCCAGACCTTGTGGAACTCCTTCCTCACTGAAGTGTACCTGATGCCTTCTTTACACAGCTTTGGGCTGAATGCTGACGACACACCTCTTCATCCTGACTTTTAACAAGTGAGGTGTATATTTCTGGGACCCGCATCGCTTCTGTGGTTGCGAGTTGTTTTGGGCTGTTTTAACATTTTGCTTTAATTGTTGTAAGCTGCCCTGGTAACTTTAAAGGTAAAGGGACCCCTGACCATTAGGTCCAGTCGTGGCCGACTCTGGGGTTGTGGCGCTCATCTCGCTTTATTGGCCGAGGGAGCCAGCATACAGCTTCCGGGTCATGTGGCCAGCAGGACTAAGCCACTTCTGGCGAACCAGAGCAGCGCACAGAAATGCCGTTTACCTTCCTGCCAGAGCGGTGCCTATTTATCTACTTGCACTTTGACATGCTTTCGAACTGCTAGGTTGGCAGGAGCAGGGACAGAGCAACGGGAGCTCACCCCGTCGCGGGGATTCGAACCGCCGACCTTCTGATCGGCAAGTCCTAGGCTCTGTGGTTTAACCCACAGCACCACCCGCCTCCCCTCTGGTAACTTTAGGGGTAAATAATAACCACCATCCTGATGTAAACAGGGTTCAGGTCTTATGTCAGTGCCAAATATCGAACCATGCCAATTCACAGTCGCCTCTACAACTGGCACCAGTTGTGTTGGCTCGCACCACTGTCCATTGGTTTGGCACCAATATGGAAGCCCAAGCAAGTCTCCAAGAGGAACAAGCATTAGCTCAGTGCAGGGAGTGTGTGGAATGGAAAGGAAGCTTAGCTCATCCACGTCCATTAAGATTACTCTTCTCCTAATCCCACTGGGCCCAAGGCAATGCTGAGTCCACGGGGAGATTTCGACAAGCAGAGACAGCGCTTCACAGCTCATCTTTTCAGCTCTCGCTATCGAGCAGCCAGCTCCTTCTCTGTCCTTTGTATTCTGCTCTTTCAACCACCCCATCCCTCTTCCACCCGGCAAAGTCTGAAAGTTGTGGGCAAGCAGGAGCAAAGCTTAGGAGGAATGAAGCAGCAGCATTTCCACCTTTTCCAGCAAGGAACTCGGAACACAATAACCTCTACTGATAATAATAATAATAATAATAATAATAATAATAATTTATTTGTACCCCGCCCATCTGGCTGGGTTTCCCCAGCCACTCTGGGCGGCTTCCACAGAAACCAAAAATACACTAAAATCACACATTAAAAACTTCCCTGAACAGGGCTGCCTTAAGATGTCTTCTGAATGTCAGGTAGTTGTTTATCGCTTTGACATCTGATGGGAGGGCGTTCCACAGGGAGGGCGCCACTACCGAGAAGGCCCTCTGCCTGGTTCCCTGTAACTTGGCCTCTCGCAGTGAGGGAACCGCCAGAAGGCCCTCGGTGCTGGACCTCAGTGTCCGGGCAGAACGATGGGGGTGGAGACGCTCCTTCAGGTATACTGGACCGAGGCCGTTTAGGGCTTTAAAGGTCAGCACCAACACTTTAAATTGTGCTCGGAAACGTACTGAGAATAGAATACAGGAATAGGAAGCCCAGTTGCCCCATCAGCTAAGTCATCTGCTGTGTAGGGACTCAATAAATTGCAAAGCAGTCATTTCACCTCCTGTTGTACCCACACACTTTGCACAGGGAGGAGCCGCTGGCTGCATAAACACAGAGATAACTGGGAAGGGGTGTGGAGAGGTCCATTTTCAACCATTCCTTAGCATCTCAGTACAAAAGGATAATGGCAATGGCATTTCAGGAGAGGAGAGTTCAGTTCCAGGCAAGAAGGCCTCCAAGCACAGAACCTTCCACAAACCTCTCAATGGCCTCATCATCTCAAACTGGACCTAGGTGAAAGGAAGCTCAGACTGAATCTTACTTCCAAGACTGGTGATAGGATAGCAGCCTCCATGGCACCTGAAGGCAAGAGGCCAGCTTAGCAGGTACAGGGCAGGCCATGCGACACAAACCGCTCTGTCCTTACACATCTTGCTGCTCTTCTCCCCATCCCCCGCAGTGTCAAGCGGCCACTCCACTCTGCCTAATGGTAGAGCCGGCAATCCAGTTCACAGGAACTGAGCAGATGGGCCCTCGGATGACTTTCCCATTCCTTTCCATGCACCATAGCAACTTTCTCCTACACAAGCACACAGGGCTCTGTAAGCCCCTCTTCTCCAGCATAAACAGAAACAGAGGCCTCCATCCCTATCTGCATTTGCTCATGCATACGAATATGCAGCCCAGGTACATAGAGGGAGGATTCTTACAGGACCCCCATTGCTGGAGAAGGGAATCAGAAGAGCCTCTGCTGAACTAGCAGCGAGGGCCAATGCTCCTGGCTTTTCGGCCCCTGCTCAGCTCAAAACATGCTCTCCCATCTTAAAGATTAGTTGCACCTGACCTGGGCTGAAGATTACTTGCACCTGACCCACTAATGGCAGTTTTATGCTTTTTAAGGTTTTGTTTTGCTGCATAAAGCATCTGTAAAAGTGCAAGTGATATGAGGAAGTGGGATATTTGGAGCCCACCCCCCAAGCTCTCTCTGCTTTGTGGACTTTTTCAACCTTGCAAGCCAGCTTGCTGTGTAGAAGTGTGAGAGTCAAGTCCTGATTCCTAAACTAGGGCAGATGCAGATGGTTTTTTGTTTAAGGGCAGGGAAAACATGTTAACTAAACAAGAGTCTTTGGGCTACATAAAATCAACATATCAGTCTCATACAAAAAAGAAATTTATATCGAAAATAATTGTGTCATTTGTGCCCTTGCAGTATTTCAGTGGAAAATTAAAAAGGGCAGTGCCTGCATATAACCTCTCCATAAAAAATCTGAGTCAGTGGTGGACGTATCAGGATTCCACCCCTAGTTATGGTCAACAGAAAAGTCCTCCATATGCTTTTACAATTGACTGTTTTAGCAGTTCCTCTAAGTACGCAATACAGTGGACGCTTGGGTTGCGAATGTGATCCGTGCGGGAGGCATGTTCACAACCCACAGCGCCACGTCTGCGCACGCGCAGGTTGTGATTCGGTGCTTCTGCGCATGTGCAAAGCGTGATTTAGCGATTCTGTGCATACGCGACCGCCAAAACCTGGAAGTAACCTGTTCCGGTACTTCCAGATTTTGGCGGGTCCGTAACCCGAAAAAACACAACCTGAAGCATCTGTAACCCGAGGTATGACTGTAGTGATTATGCTATAAATGTTCAGATAAAGCCATGTCCCATATTTTGTCTAACCAGCCACTCATGGCGAGTTCTGGTGTTTCCCAATGGCCAGCCAATTCCAAACAGCACCGCCGCAAGGAATGCAGAGACAAATTCCCCATAAATTAGGATGACACTGTGGTCTGGTTATCCAGAAGTCTTGAAACCACTCCTTGTCTCTACTGGAAAAGCCTGGCTTCTGTAGTCACAGCCAGAACACAGTCGCTCCAGGACTCAGCCAAAGCCTCCCCTCTTGCTTCTTGTCAGGCCTGACAACTGGAGCCGCACCTCTGTTTATATCTCAGAGCCCATCAAACAGAAATGGAAGACTGGCTCAGGAATGTTATCTGCAGTTGAGAGAAAGCCATGGCCTGAGCTGGGATTAAGCTTGGTTTGTGGAAAAAGCAAAACAGTGGCGAAGGGGAAGAGTTGAGGGGAAGCCCAGTGAAGGAGGAATAAGCACAAGTTTCATTAAGGTCTGTTGGTAATGGGGTAGACAGAGGAAAGAGATGCCTCTGGTCTTGTTTAAACTGAAGAATATACATACAGGCATGCCAAACTGGTCACTCCAGATAGAGCACCAGGGCCGTCTTAAGAATATGTGGCGCCGGGGTGCAAAGATCCGCCCAGCGCCCCTCCCCCAGGTTGCCCAGAGTTGTTGACTTTCCTTTGGGGGGGGGGACCCTAAAGTTGTTGACTTTTTTTAGGGCGAGCCAGTGAGGCGTGCATGGCAGAGCTGGCCTGGCCAGCCAATTCAGCAGCAGCAGAGGAGCCCGAGGTGGTAGCGGCAGCAGAGCAAGGCCGGGCCTGGGCAACTGGGGGTGGGGGCAAGCAGAGCCCAGCGCAACAACGGTCAAGCCCAAGGCTGAATGCCTCGTGTGAGCAGCGTGCGCTGGGCGGGCCTCTCGGCGGCCTGACAATCCCAGGCGCGCAGGAGGGCGGAGCCGGCTGGCTGCCTCAGCCCCTCACTTGCCCGCAGTAGAAGAGCTGTGGCGCTTCGATGGGCTCTGCTCCAATCAGAACTGGCTGTCAGCTCTTCCCAATCCCCAGACTCCAAATCTCGGCCCCGGATTCTCGGCCTGGTGCCCCTGAGACCCAGGCGCCCGGGTGCCCCACACCCCTAGCACCTATGGATAAGACGGCCCTGTGGAGCACAAATAATCTGAACCTCTGCACCAGAAAGAACTGAATACAGTGGTACCTTGGGTTACAGATGCTTCAGTTACAGACGCTTCAGGTTACAGACTCTGCTAACCCAGAAACAGTACCTCGGGTTAAGAACTTTGCTTCAGGATGAGAACAGAAATCATGAGGCAGTAGCGCAGCGGCAGCAGGAGGCCCTTTAGCTAAAGTCGTACCTCAGGTTAAGAACAGTTTCAGGTTAAAAATGGACCTCCAGAACAAATTAAGTTCTTAACCCGAGGTACCACTATACACAGGCCGGGGGGGGGGGCTCCCCCACATCTTTTGGGATGCCAGTTTACATTCAAGTCCAGGCTTGACACCACATATCCCCCCTGATCACAGCTGGAAGAAAGAGGAAAGCCAATGGCAGTCTGGTTCCTAGCAAGGCCAAAGCATGCTAAATAAGCAAAGAACAGAGCAAAGGAAAGCAAGCAAAGACGTCAAGTGTATTGGCCCAAAATCTCAAGCAATGGAGGAGGTTCAATGGATCAATGGAGGAGGTTCAAATCGAGGATCAATGGATGGGTTGGCTAAGGACCCCCTAGCAAACACATCCCAGTGAGCTCACACATTTTTCCATATGTGGGAGAAGGGCCTGTTCAGGGAATTACGAAACCTAGAACAACAGAAAACCTCTGTACACTGCCTGGCTTACAGATGGGTCAGCAAGCATAGCAACCCCCGAACCCCACTTTCCCAACTTCTTCCCAAGATTGCTAACCTGCAACAACTACCCTTGATCAGGGATGGGCCAATCAAGGATAAGCCAACCAGGGCTGCCCCTCCAGATAAATAGTGGACTACAGCTCCCATCATTCCTGACCGTTTACCATGGTGGCTGGGGCTGATGGAAGTTGGAGCCCCCCAAAAACCACCTGGAGATAATAATCCTTCCTGGAAATTGCGGGGTTCCTTCATACGCAGCAAATTTATGTGTAGCTTGGTACTTCGCCCAATTCTGTGGAGGCTACACAATCACTTAGCACAGCACAAAAAGTAAAAATAAGTGGGGGGAGAGGGAGGGAGAGAGAGAAGGAAGCAAGGTGAATCAATCAACAGCATCATATCTGTGTCAAGAATTGGCTTGGGGCTTTCTTCAGCATCCACTAATGCCTTGAATGTAAAAACACACACATTCTGGGGGTAATAGCTCTGGAATTGCCTAGCCTACCTGGCACGGTTGTTGTGAAGTTAAAATGAAGAGGGAGGCATAAATGCCACCTTGAGCTCCTTATATGAAAGGTGGGATAGAACTGTAATAATGATGATGATGATGATGATGATGATACTTGCATCTTGTATCCTTCATCCAAAACAGGGTCCACCCCTGAAGACCTCACAGGGTGTTCAGATCCCCTGTAGGTCTACTAGAAGAAGAAAAGAGCTTGTCTCTGCCTCACAGAGAAGTATGGAAGGAGAAGGCGAACGAGAAAGCCTCCAGTTGCCATAGCAATAGGGAGCCGGACGCTGCCGGCTTGGCTCCTGGGACAAAATTGACACAACTCATTTGTCTGTCTCCCAGCCTAACAAAGAGATGGGCTGGAACAAGGCTGACTGGGTTGGATCCCAGCCTGAACTCATCAACAGGCACCTGTCCTGGAAGTCCTGACATATTGAGGCTATGTGAACAAATAGAGAGGGTGCTCTCAGGCGTGTACAGAGTGAATTGGAGGTCTCCTCTGCAACAACAGCAGCTGCAACATCTGAAGAATGGACACCAACAGGTGAAGACTCTCCCCAAACCTGAATAAGGGCTGCAGTTCAGTGGCAGAGGAAGATCTGCCTTACCTAGGGCTGCCCTATTTCAAAAAGTAAAAACCAGGAGACCCTGACAGTTGCTGAGTTTTTCTAGGAAACCCCGAAAATTGTTGAGCTATTTTTTTCGTTTGACAAAGCGGAAATTCCCCCTGGACAAAAATTCTGCCTTTGAAATCCCGGTAATGCCCCCCAAAAATTCCAGACATATGGCAGCCCTAGCTATACTTGCAAAACGTCCCAGATGTGTCCTCCCCCCTGCCACACCCCCAAAGTAAGGTTCAGAAAACCAGGAAAGTCAATGCCGCCATTCCTATGCGCAGGTTAAAAATCACCGAAGCCACATCTACAGAATACAGTGTTACCTCGGGTTAAGAACGTAATTCGTTCCGGAGGTCCATTCTTAACCTGAAACTGTTCTTAATCTGAATCACCACTTTAGCTAATGGGGCCTCCTGCTGCCACTGCGCCACCGGAGCCCGATTTCTGTTCTCATCCTGAAGCAAAGTTTTTAACCCAGGGTACCATTCCTGGGTTAGCAGAGTCTGTAACCTGAAGCGTATGCAACCCAAGGCACCACTGTACATTCAATGTATTCCCCGCCAAAAAAAGGAACCTGGGAGCTGTAGTTTGTTAAGTGTGCTGTGTGAGGGGTGAACTACAGTTCCCGGGATTCTTTGTGGGGAGAGGGAAGCCATGACTGCTAAATTAGTGCTCCAAATGTGCTTTAAAGGAGGTTCCCGGCACGTTTATCCAAGGCACCTGCATATCCAAAAAACCTCTGGGTAGCAAGAGGGACACAGAAGACGAAGCTCTCTCTCGTTAAATTTCGTGCACAAAGCTACACAGCACAACACGCCAGCCATGTTCTGGCATACTGAGACTCTTGTGCATAGGAGAGTTAGATACGTAAGGAAGCCTGCCAAGATATCGTAGCTCATGGGGGCAAGGGTGAGTCAACAAGCAGGAGACAGCGGATTCAAGAAACACAAGGGTGTGGGGATGTTGAGGTGTGGGCAAGGGCAGAGAGGGGCAGAATCACCCTGTGGGTGCCAACCGGGCTTCTAAAATAAAAATCCTCCCCAAAGCCACCCCCCACCAGCACTCTCCCCAGGGTGAGCAAGCCTCAACTCAGCAGGGGCAGGAGAGGGTTAACCCCGTCCTTGCTGCAGTCGCCTCCTCAGGGGCATGGCTTGCAGACGGCTTTTCTCATGCTAATGATGAGTTCTGGCTCTTGGGCAGACAAGGGAGGGAAGGAGAGGGAGAAAGAAATGGGTGGGGGATGGGAGCAAAGAGGGGAAATATTATTTTCAGACCTATCTGGGGGCGGGGGGGGGGGGGGAGGGTTTGTGAGTGAGCTCACAGCACTGCGGGGGGGGGGGGGAAGAGAGACAGCAAATAGAATTCTGCAAGGGGAAACTCATCAGTCATAGTTTTGAGTATTTATAGGAGGGTGCATGTATGTGATTAAAAGATGCTCTCTGCAACATGAGAGGAGGAAGGCGAATGATGCACATGGTTCAAAGTTTTAACTTAATTACAAGCAAAGCAGCGTCTCTGCCCATCTTAAGAGGCACACAAGTCTAGTAAAGAGGTGCCATTAGTTTCATCATGCAAGTCTTTCCCTCCATTGTTGTGAAGGAACAAGATGGGTTAGAATAAACTAATCAGGAACTGGTCTGCTTGGGCCTCACTAAGGCCACTCTCACACCATACTTTGCCTCCAAAGAACCCTGAGATCTATAGTTTGTCAAAGGTGCGGAGAGGTGTCAGGAGGCCCCTCCCAGAGCTACAATTCCCAGAGTTAAGAGGGACCCAATAGTTAAACCACTCTGGGAACTGTACCTCTGAGAGGGGGGGGGGTTTCCTATCAACTCTCAGACCCTTTAACGAACTACAGCTCCCAGAATCCTCCGGGGGAAGCCACAAGTGGTATCATAGTGCTTTAAAAGAATGTGTGAATGTGGCCGCTGTATGGCATCATTGGAGAACCTGGGGAAGGGCTAGCACAGTGGAAGAGCATCCATCTGTCCTACATGCAAAAAGTCCCAGGTTCAACGCTCCAATACTTTGGCCACCTCATGAGAAGAGAAGACTCCCTGGAAAAGACCCTGATGTTGGGAAAGATGGAGGGCACAAGGAGAAGGGGACGACAGAGGACGAGATGGCTGGACAGTGTTCTCGAAGCGACCAGCATGAGTTTGACCAAACTGCGGGAGGCAGTGGAAGACAGAAGTGCCTGGCGCGCTCTGGTCCAGGGGGTCACGAAGAGTCGGGCACGATTAAATGACTAAACAACAACAACAATGGTCCATTTTCACCATGTAAGCAAAGTGATGCCTTTGGCTTAAAATGTCTCTGTTAGAAGGATGGCATCTCCACTGAATACTGCAACACAGGAACGACGTTTGGTGTGCAACGTGCAGGACACTATTTCTACATTTCAAGTCCAAATGCAAGGTCACCTCACCCACACACACATGCCAGTTTTCAAGAGCAGGAAGAGGAAAAATGCGGGAACAAAGTGGAAAACACTGCACACAAAGCCACACCGAGTAGCACTGTGCTTTGCAAGTTCGTGTGTGTGTGTGTGTGTGTGTGTGTGTGTGTGTACGTGCGCACTTACACCCACCCACACCCCATTTGGGAAATCTACTTCTTCGTCACAGGTGAATTTTGCACACATACTTTTACTGCTGACCTCTCCCCGCCAAATAACAGGAACTACTAGATGCTATTTAGTCTGAAATATGTCGAAATACTCTGTGACACACAACTGCACTTCCTTAACACTAACAGCAAACACAAGATATGGAGTACCGACTGGACTGTAGCCAAAATAGGAGAGTGATCGGGAGAGCTCTGAGATTTGAAGTAGCACCCCCCACCGCAAAAAAAAAAAACTTTCAGAAAAGAAAAACACAGAGGCAATAACACAGTCCACTGAAGATGGAGTATGCTCTGGCAGCTATGGCATGTTGACGATGAGTTGGGAAAATAAAACAGAAAACGGTTGCAAGAAGCAGAATGCGCTGCTTCAGTTCCTTACGGCTCAGCACCCTAGAGGAAGGCATGACTTGAGGGCACAGAAGCAACCTGGTTTGGGAGGGTCAGGTTGCTCACTGGGACGGGGCGGTTTGAGCATATGGCACTGATTTTGGCTTTAGCAGCTGCCCATTAGTTTCCGGACCCAATTCAAAGAGCTGGTTTGGACCTCTAAAGCCTTCAGTGACTCAGGACCACAATACCTCCAGGACTGCCTCTCCCCATATGAACCAACCCAGGCCCTGCGATGATCATCTGAGGCCCTTCCTCGAGTGCCTCCTCCACGAGAGGCCCAGAGGGTGGCAACATAAGAACAGGGTCTTTTCTGCAGTGGCTCCCCATTTGTGGAATGCTCTCCCCAGAGAGGCTCGCCTTGTGCCTTCGTTATATATCCTTCCTCTTCAACCGGGCCTTTGACTGACTAATATCTTATACCATCCCACTCCCCTTTTAAATGTGTTTGTGGGCTTGTTGCTGTTGTTGTTGTTGTTAATCATGCACTTTGTGCTTTTATGTTGCATTTTTATGTTGTGAACTGCCCCGAGATCTGCGGCAGAAGGGCTGTTAATGCAAATATAATAAATAAATAATAACCTGTTGCAAGTCCCACCTGTCTCCTTTTGCTCTCAAACCCTTTCAGGTTGAAAGAATGGCCTTTTATCCAACAGAAGTTCATAGCCAAGTAGTAATTGAGACACTCCCCACGCCACCCCCATTTTAAAAGTCTGCACCCCTCCGGCAGCAAACTCAAGATACTGAGCGCAGACAGGACTGCAGTCAAAATGAAAGGCTGCGAATTCATGGGACATAAGGGCCTTATTGTGCAGAACGAAGAGATAAGGTTCCTTCCTAGGGGGCCAGGCTTCTGTACACATTAGCAGAAGGTGCATGTCTTTTGATGCCTGGTGGCGCCTACTCCAAGCTACCGAAATATGCATGCCGCCCTAAGGGTGCTGGTGAAAACAGTTTTGAACAGAGCCAGAAAAAGAAGCCCCAATTCCTATACCAGCAGCCTTGGATAGATGCAACAGTGTGCTGCTGCTGCTGTTTTGCAGGACTTGAGAGGTTTAAAACCCAAACTAGAATGGCTTGTGCCCTGTCTGCTCGCCCTGCATATTTTAAAAATTTAACCCAAACTGCATAAAGGGGTCCGCAGCACACTTGCAAGGACGCAGACCCTGTAAAAAGTTGCCACGAACCGTTTTACTGCTGGGCCAGGGCAGTGGGGTGGGGAAGTGAGGAAAAGGAAACATGCATATCTTTTTACACACCTGTTAGATGACGGGCATTTGGAATTACCCCTGTATGTGAGCTAAGCACATTTGTGACGCTTTTATGTACACACACAACAGTTTTCACACACGCACACACAAAGCCAGCTGGTAATGCTCAAGGAATAAGCATTTCCACTTGTTTGGTCTTACAGTTTTATAAGCTTGCCTCGTTGTGGAGGAGTCTCCCGGGATTAGAAGGGCTCTTGAAGATGCTATAGAAATACCTCTACAAAAGCACTATTTTTGTACAAAAGTTACTACTACAACTTTGATTCCCCTTCGTGGAAGGAGCCCACCAGTTTAAGCCTGCCCTTCCCCCTCAGTTTACGTTTTTGTACTTGTCAATAGGATTGCTATCATTTCACTGTTACAGCTTCTGTTAACTCAGACCCTCTGAGCATGCGCAGAGTGCGTTTCCCTCTCCAGTAAAAAATCAAGCTCTTTGGGGGACAGGAACTGAGGGGAAAGTACCGAGCGCTGAATTTGCAGAGTGCCCCTTTTGGAGAGCTTTGAAATAGGCCTCAGTCCTCCCTCAGAAATGTGCTCCTCCGTCAGAAGACGCTGAAGCAGATTTGGAGCGCTGGCAACCCCAGAGCAGCTGAAGTGAGCAGGAGATAAAAAGCATGTGCATATGAGGCCTTCTCGGCACTGTACATTTAGAGCACAATTACACTGCTTGAACAGTCATGGCTTCCCTCAAAGAAACCTGGGAACTGTAGTTTGCGAAGGGTAGCTCAACCTGAGCTACAATTCCCAGAGTGTCTGAATGCCTCGCTCCAGGGACCTGGGGGAAACTGTAGCCCTGAGAGGGGAATAAGGTGTCCCACAAAACTCTCGGCACCCCAGGATTGTCTGGGGGAAACCATGGCTGTTAAAAGCGGTATCATACTGCTTTAAATGTATAGTGCTGATGCCCCCAGTCCGGAGTCAAAAAAAGGCATACAAGTGTAGGAGAAAAGTCTCCAGAGTGATGGTCACTGTTTGGTTCAGCACTGCTTGGCACTAAAACATAAAACAGAGTTATGACTAGCAGACACGTCACTTTCTAAGGCGTAGGCAAAGGCAAATGTTTCCTCAAGGGGCCGGGCAGGTGAAATGAAGGCTGTTATTTACGGGCAACTGCATCTGGATCTTTTGTCAAGTTTTGCCAACTTAAAAACAACCAGAGGGTTTTCCTCCTGTGGAAATAGGGTATTGTTTCTGGGGGGGGGGGTGCCCACCGAGGGCCTTCCTCCGGGAAGGTTCCAGAAGAACCTGAGGAGACTCCTTCGCCTTTGGAAAGGGAAGGCAAATAATACCTCATGATTACCTCACAAATTACCTCATGATTACCATCCCAAGTTCAGCATCAAGGGAAGGCGTGTACAGACACACCGGATGTCCCACAACAGACACAATTGCTAAATAACAACTGTGCTCTCAAACCAAGCGCATCTTGATGTGGAGAAAAAGCCTCAAGCTCCAGAAAACCTCCAAAAAATAACACATACACCCCCCCCAAAAAAACCCCAGTAGCCAAGTTTGCGTTCATATGATACATGCTGGTTTGTGGGTAGATTCCACATAGTCCCAAAAGCACCTCATCCACAGATGATAGAGGGAAGTGGCATGTCTCGAACAGAAAATGCTCGCCACCTCACAAAACAACGTATTTGGGCGCTTGGGAGAAATGAGAAAAGGGAAGTCTACATCACAGCCTGCAAATTTATTACTTTCCTCAGAGGTAGGAGAGCTGGTACGGTTAAGAGAAGTCAGCTTAGAAGAACAGGGAAACACAGATTCAAATCCCTACTTAAAACTGATTGAAGCCGGGTTTTAAAATTTCAAATCAGATTTCTGGAAAACAGAACGTCGGTTATGTTTCCATTAATATCTCTCTATCTGTCCCTGCGAGCGCTCCAATTGGAAAATAGCCTTTACCAAAGGCATCATGGACTTTGAAGAAGCAGAAACTCAGGGAGAAACGACCCAAAAGGAAGGCACGTTTGGCAAACCCCACATCGTGATCAACTTCTGCCCAGAAACCTATGTCCCCACAGCGGAGGGACGTGTGGACGCAGAATTGGCCTCCACAGTCACTTACGGACACACCGTTAATACCATGTTCATGGAAGACAATCTTAGGAGGGATCACCAAAGAAACAGAACAGGGGTCAGCAAACTTTTTCAGCAGGGGGCCGGTCCACTGTCCCTCAGACCTTGTAGGGGGCCGGACTATTTTTTGGAAAAAATAATAATGAACGAATTCCTATGCCCCACAAATAATCCAGAGATGCATTTTAAATAAAAGGGCACATTCTACTCATGTAAAAACACGCTGATTCCCAGACCGTCCGCGGGCTGGATTTGGAAGGCGATTGGGCCGGATCCAGCCCCCGGGCCTTAGTTTGCCTACCTATGAAATAGATCTGTCTGTCCCTGGTATAAAATAACCCTGGCTGTTAACTCATGGAGCATCCATATCAACACAGGGTGCATCTTATTTACACTTTCCTGTGAGTAAGTCCCATTGAACTCAATGAGGCTTACAAGCAGAACTACATAGTCAGTCTACAAGTTGAAACCATGACTCAACAAACCGAGAGGAAAGCCTGCTTTTCTGTGGGAAACAAATCGGTGGAGAAAGCATGAAGTACTCTGAAATGATATATTGTGTTTATTTTTGTCCAAATTATGATTTCAGATTGCCAGGCAGAAATGAATGGACATTTAATTTCCATGGCCCGAAGATAAGCAGAACGATTTTCAAGGAAATGATGTGGCTTAGTATCCTTATATGCACACAGAAAACTCAAAGCAGATACTGTTAATTCGCAACTGCACTTCTAAGCAATTGCATATACATGCACAGCACAAAAGACATGTGAGCTGCATGACTCCAGGATTTGGAATATGCCTCTGCATAAATATAGAAATTTCTTATGTGCTTCATAAGCACATAGGTTTTATTTGTTATAGCAACCAATTAATATGCATGCTTGCCGAGGGTATGCCTGAATTAGAAGATGAGAAAGCTAGTTTAAATGAATGGTTTTGAACTGGGCCTTTTTCTGGGCAATTTAAGTTACCTGTTTTAAAAACCAACCCTCAAGGATGTATTTCTACCTAACAAAATGGTACAACGGAATTGTGGGCAAAGGAAAAGTTTTCCACAGAGGAACACATTCAATACCGAATACACAATGGCTAGGGCATTAATCCTCAAAAAAACAACAACCAGAGGCTTGAAACACTGGAATGGCCAACAGCCGAACAACAGTTCATCCCCCAAAATCCTACAATAATGCACCTACTGAAAGGGTTAACATTACCCAGCTATCACCCCGGCTTTTTAACTGTTTTATATCAGGATTGTGAACCACTTCACGCTGCCTCTATGCAAACAACACTTTTCTATGGATTGTTGCCACTATTGTATTATGGTTGCGTTATTTTATCTAGTATTTTGTTCTGATCCACCCAAGGAATGTGGAAAGATGGATTGCTGTATAAATCCCCGAGAAACAGTGGCAATAGGTCAGCCATACTGGTAATAGGTCAGACCACAGAGTAACAAAGGGAAACTGAGGTCGCCCAGGAACTTAGAACATTTGAACATAAGAAGAGGCTACTGGATCAGGCCAATGGCCCATCTAGTCCAGCACTCTGTTCTCACACCCAGAACAGGAAACCAGCAAGCAAGACTGGAGCACATGAGCCCTCTCCCCTCCTGTAAAGGTAAAGGGACCCCTGACCATTAGGTCCAGTCATGACAGACTCTGGGGTTGCGGCGCTCATCTCGCTTTACTGGCCGAGAGAGCCGGCATACAGCTTCCGGGTCATGTGGCCAGCATGACTAAGCCACTTCTGGCGAACCAGAGCAGCGCACGGAAACGCCGTATACCTTCCCGCCAGAGCGGTACCTATTTATCTACTTGCACTCTGATGTGCTTTCAAACTGCTAGGATGGCAGGAGCAGGGACCAAGCAACGGGAGTTCATCCCGTCGTGGGGATTCGAACCGCCGACCTTCTGATCGGCAAGTCCTAGGCTCTGTGGTTTAACCCACAGTGCCACCCACGTCCCCTCCAGCAACTGGTCTTCAGAAGCAATCTTGAAGGCAGAGTATAGCCATTGTGGCTAGTAGATATTGATGGCCTTCTGCTCATGAACTCATGTCCAGTCCTCTTTTGACACCATTGAAATATTTGTTTAGCTGGGCTTTTTGGGCCCATGAAGAAGTCCGGCTTTTTGAGCAAGTGCTGTAGGCTACTTCTTTCCTCTCCTCCTCTGCATGCTGCTCCCCAAGAGGGCCAGAAAGAGCATGTTCACATGCACATTCTCTGCTTTTCCAAGGGATAAAGATAAAAAGCTAGATTCAGTTAAACTAATCCAACTAGTCTTGAAAAGGCACACAGAGCTGAAAGAGGAAGTGGGGAAGAAATTCCCTCTTCCAGCTTCCTGCTCCAGAATGCTATGCATTTTCCAAGCCTTCCTTTTTCTTCAAGGTAGAGAAGGGTAACCCAGCTTGACACCTCATCACAAGGCGGCAGAGCAAAGGTTGGTTCAGAGGCTTTGTGGGTTCCAGGAGAAGATCTCAAGGGTACCACTGCACCCACGGGAACCATGATGGCAGTCGCCACCTCCTACCCTAAACATCTGACAGCAGCTCCTAACAAACGAATGCAGAAGTGCCCCATCGTCTTTTTCTCACGTTTTTTCAGACTGTGGTCGTTCCATGGAACTTCCTCCTCAATGAGAAGATGCGTCACGGCAGACAAAATTCCCTTAGCCGTGATTTGTGCCCATCTTCCTCATCCAGCCACAGAAAAGCAACAGATTGTGTCCTGGGGTAATAAAAGAGGGCTTGTATTCTGCCCTTGCAAACCAATTGTGCACCTGAGGAATCCTCTGCGATGCTCAAGGACTCGGCAGTCGACAAGGTTCCCCAAACGAAACGGGGTTTAAAAACCCAATGGAACATCAGAAGGTGCCTTATGCCAGCTCAGGCTGTCCACTGTCTCCTCAAGATTGGCAGAAGCTCCTCAGAGAAGGGCCTTCCTCCATCACTGGCCATTGAACCCAATGCCTGCTGCATCCAAGGCACCACCTGAGGCACCGTCTTCTCCATCAAAGGACTCCGGTCACAGCAGCTAGGAACAGGGGGACCGAGGCAGTAAAGCTTCTGAATGCCAGCTGCCGGAAGCCATAAAAGAGAACAGTGCTCTTGTGCTCAGGTCCTGCTTAAGGGTTTGCCACCAGCATCTGCTGGGCCACTGGGATCACAGGATGCTGGACAAGATGGCCCTGTGGCCTGATCCATCGGGGCTCATCTTACTCCTTATGACCTCTTTCGGAAGCGACACATCTCTAATCACCAAGCGCCAAGGACAAACAGCAAGCGATGGAACCCACCATCTTGTCCTGTCGCTGGCAAGCCCCTTGGCCGAATCCCTGCTAGATGTGGAGGTCTGAGATAGGAAGATGGTACCTTTTCGTGTGATCTATCATCTAGACATTGCAGTTCTTAATTGTCTTTGCAAACGGGAGTCCACAAAGCTGCTTCCAAGAAGCAGCCTATGAAGGTGAGAAGGGAACTTCCCCCTAGCAACTACCTGCACAGATGCTCAGCTCAGCTACACCAAGCTGCGCAAGGCAGCCTTTCATCACGACCAGAGAACAGCAGGGAGCGCACAGCAAATCCTTCCAGGCATCACTGCTGGATACAAAATAATAAGCAACAGAGCTATGCTGGTGTGTGTGTGTGTCTGTGTATTTGACAAATAGCACACTAGCCACAAGCAGATCCTACCAGAAACACATTACAGTCCAGGGTTGGGTGGAGATCTGGGCAACTGATCATTTCAGGGGTGAGATCTACAGGTTGCAGTGATGATCATACAACCAGTTACATTATGCGTGCAAGGAGCTCGTTCAGATCTGCCCATCCGAAACTCAGGAAAGGTTCCCGCTATTCCCACCCCAAGCATGAAAAGAAAACAAGCTAACAGAGCTAAATCAACCAAGATCACAACGAATACTAAGCGCCATGGATTCCTTGGGAGACTAAACATTCCGGGGCGCTGCAGCTGTGGAATAGCTGGAGGAGAGCTTGGGAGAGAGACTGGGGGCGCAGAACGAAGGCTGGTCCTCGCATTCCCCACCGCCCCTGAAATTCTCCGGATTCCTGCGGGGAGGGGGCGAGGGAGGATCCCAGAGGAAGGGGGAGTGGTGGGGCTGGCGGATCCTCAAGGCAGAGAGCCCTCCACCTTGCGGCCCCGCCCCGCCGGCTCCGGCCAGGTGAGGAAGTGTTCCGGGGCGTCTCCTCCCGCTCCGCCTTTCCCAGGGCGCCCAGCCAGAGAAACAGGTTCCCTGGGCCTCGCCATCTTGGGAGGGAGGGGGCGGAGAAAGAAACTTTATCCGGCAACTGGGCTGCTGCGGAGGAAAGCGGTTTGGGAGAGCCATGGGGCGGAGACGGGAGGGAGAAATCGAATTCGGAGCGAGGAGGGTCGCCAGCAGCCAGAATCGGGAGAAAGCAAAGGGTGCGCCGGCGGCGGCGCCGGGAAGGAACCGGCGAAAGGGGAGTTCGCTCCGCGCTGGAGGAGGCGCAGAGCTGCGCTTCTGGGGAGGAGGAATCCCCAAGGAGCACCAGATCCTGGCACTCCGGATCCAGGGGAGCCGAAGGAGAGTCCAGCCGGGAGGAGAGCGAGGGAAGCGGGTGGGCACTGGGCGGCTGGAGACGGCGCCGGGCTTACCGGAGAGCAGGCAGAAGAGGAGGCTCGCGAAGGCGCACGAACTCCGAGGCGCGCCCATGGAGCGGTGGAGGGTCCGGGCAGCAGATCAAGCGCCGGCTGGGACTCCGCTCTGGCTCCTCGAGACGTCCGTCCGTCCGTCCGGCGCTGGATCGGCTTCAGCCTTAGAATCAGTCCCGTCTCTTTCGGGGGAAGAAGCGGCTCCTCGCGCTCCGTGGCGACAACTGCTGCGTCTCCGCAGCTTGCGCGTTGCTACTGCTGCAATCGCCCGGTGCGCCTTTGGCGCCGCCCCTCGAAGGGAGGAGGGAAGGGGTGGCCACGCCCAGTCGGGGCTTCGCCCCCGGTTTACCGAACCCCCGCCTTCCCCCGTCCCACCGCAACCCGGTGCAAGCGCACCTGTCTGGCTGGCACTACCGAGGTTTCCCTCATTTAGAGCTCACCTTATGCGGGGAACCTCACAGGGATGAATGGGTCGCGCCCTTTAAGGAAAGGTGTGTGCAGGATCTTGACCTCTCTGTGCCTTAGAAGTATTTATTGTTAGGGTTTTTTGTATCTTTATTATAGATCTCATTGTGATTGATGTGGAAATTGTTCAGTTTGGTTGAGTATTTGTTTAATTTCTCATGTATTGTTCATGGCTACTTTTGTTAAGTTGTAGTTCTGAATTTTTTTCATACTGTAAGCTGCCTTGAGCATGGTTTGAACTGTGGAAAGGCGGCATACAAATAAAATTATGTATGTATGTGTGGAATCACATTAGGGCAAGAGGAGGGAAGATCATCCCATGATTTCACCTTTTTGGGAGATTCCGGCATGCAGCTTGCTTCCTCTTCGGGAGGGTTTAGGATAGGGGGCAGCAAACTTTTTCAGCAGGGGGCTGGTCCACTGTCCCTCAGACCTTGGGGGGGGCGGACTATATTTTGGAAAAAATAATAATGAACGAATTCCTATGCCCCACAAATAACCCAGAGATGCATTTTAAATAAAAGGCCACATTTTACTCATTTAGAAACATGCTGATTCCTGGACCGTCTGTGGGCCAGATTTAGAAGGTGATTGGGCTGGATCTGGCCCCCGGGCCTTAGTTTGCCTACCCATGGTTTAGGTCTTGCTGGTCGCCATTACAGTGGTACCTCTGGTTAAGTACTTAATTCGTTCCGGAGGTCCGTGCTTAACCTGAAACTGTTCTTAACCTGAAGCACCACTTTAGCTAATGGGCCTCCTACTGCCGCCGTGCTGCCAGAGCACGATTTCTTTTCTCATCCTGAAGCAAAGTTTTTAACCCGAGGTAATATTTCTGGGTTAGCGGAGTCTGTAACCTGAAGCGTATGTAACCCGAGGTACCACTGTATTTTCTTAGGAAGGCTTGGTCCCCTACTCACGCATATGGGTAGGATTTGCTTGATGCAGAGAGCGCCCTGCGTTCACATGAACGCGCAACCCACAGGAACTGATCCTGTGCAGGTTTAGGCAGTCCCGTTGGGTCCAACAGCAGGGCTCAGCCCCTGGTCCAAATTTATTTCTTCATCAAACAAGATTTCTATGCCACTTGATTGTAGTAAAGCTTCAGCGAGAGGTTTACAAAAAGAATAAAAATTATCTGTGCAGCTTTAAAGGATGATCTCAGCCATGCCTGCTCTGAAATCTTCTGTGGCTCTGTTAACTTTTATGTATATTTTATTGAGATCAGCAGCTCTGTGAAAGCAAATTTCGTCAATTGATTGTGTGAGTTTTTAATCAAGGGATAGCTCAGTCTGTACACAGCATGAGAGTCTTAATTTCAGGGTGGTGGGTTCCAGCCCCACCTTGAACAAAAGATTCCTGTACTGCAGGTGGTTGAACCTTGTGGTCCCTTCAAACTTTACACTTCTACGATTCCCAGTTGTATATCTGGGGAAATAATATTTTTGAAGCAAGAAGCACCTGGGTTATTTTGGGGTTGGAAGTTGCCCGCCTGCATTTGTAGCTAATGGTAGCCTTTTAGTATGCCTCCTGTGTGTGACAAAACACAACACCTAAGACCAGGTGCAGTTTTCTAAACACTTGTATTAAAATACATTTACGTTTCCTGCCCTGTTATTTGTGGGGCAAGTTTTTGGTCCACTGGATTTTTTTAATTATTATAAACTGTGCAGTTCTTTTACATCTCTTTTTACTGAATTCATGGAAGCTTTCTCAGAGGAAAGTGGGTACAGTGGTACCTCAGGTTAAGTACTTAATTCGTTCCGGAGGTCCGTACTTAACCTGAAACTGTTCTTAAGCTGAAGCACCACTTTAGCTAATGGGGCCTCCTGCTGTTGCCGCGCCGCTGGAGCCCGATTTCTGTTCTCATCCTGAAGCAAAGTTCTTAACCTGAAGCAGTATTTCTGGGTTAGTGGAGTGTGTAACCTGAAGTGTATGTAACCTGAAGCGTATGTAACCTGAAGTACCACTGTATATGATTGCAGCCTCCAGTGAGTAATCTGATCAATTAATGAAACGTTGCCACCATAATATCACTCTCTTGAATGCAAAGGGAATGTGATGGGCCTTGCTTACTAATAAAAGTAGGTGGGGTTGTAAGCTAAATCTCTGTCTTGCCCCACAGTGTTTTGTTTTTTTAACTCTCCATCTTTTTAACTCTCCATAACCATTGCCTGTCCTGACTCTCCATGATACCTTAGAGAGGGCAACCCTCTGATGTTTACTTGCAAGTAAAGCCTGGTGCCGATACCTTACCCCCATTCCTGCCCCTTAGAAATCAAGCACTGCTTTCCTCTGAATTACCGTATTTTTTTGCTCTATAAGACTCACTTTTCCCCTCCTAAAAAGCAAGGGGAAATGTATGTGCGAGCGAATGCAGGCTGCACAGCTATCCCAGAAGCCAGAACAGCAAGAGGGATTGCTGCTTTCACTGCGCAGCGATCCGTCTTGCTGTTCTGGCTTCTGAGATTCAGAATATTTTTCTTCTTGTTTTCCTCCTCCAAAAACTAGGCGCGTCTTGTGGTCTGGTGCGTCTTATAGAGCGAAAAATACGGTGCTTCTATGGCACAAGTGAGCAATCATTTCGAGGAATCACTTCTCACTGGGTGTACTTCCTTATCTGTGAGATGTTGCAGAGCAAATGGCTTTTCTTTGGAACAGCAGATTCTCTGGGCTGCGCTCACTGTGCAATCTCATTTAGCTCCTTGGGATTGGGCTGGTGGTGGAGGAGGAGGCAGGACACCAACGAGCTATGGGGGAAAAAACCTGTGGCTCAGTGTTGCCCTGCAAATCTTCACAGCTCCCCCTCCCCCAATAATCTCACCCCTTGTTGATTTCCTGGATGAGGTTGACCATGGGTGAGGTTTCTCTGAAATGTTAGCACAGGGGAATTCTAGAGGTGTCTCAAGACAGTTAGGAACATCCCAGCGCGTTCCTTTAAAAAGTCCCCAGTTCTTACAGCATCTGTCTTCCTGTTCTCCTGGACAGCCTAAAAACGGCATCTATTCTCATGGTGTGAGATCAGTGGGGTGTTCACCAACCTAACACTGAAGGGGTTTTTCCACAGGCAACGGCTACGCATTCAACAGCATTAAGTCAACAGAGAAGGCTGTGTGCCGCTTATGTGGTGTGCTTCCTGTGTGTATATTTTAAAGAAAACCCTGCAAGTAGAAAGCTCTCCCAGCAGGAATGTGGCCTTTCTCCCTGATGAGCTAGCTTTATACTTGCATGGAGGGGGTTTTGTTGTCTTACATGGGGAACATCTACCAACCTGGAGTCTGGAGTGATAACGTCTGTTCTGTCGACTCAGGAGAACTATTTCCTATTGTTGAATGTGCAGAAGCTCAGTCGCCTCTCTACCCGAACCTTGCTTGGTCTCCGTCTGACCGCTGCTATAAACAGACACACCTCCTTTTGACAATTTTTTGTGAGCATCGCTCACCCCCTGGTGGTTGCTGTCGTGCAATCACACAAATAACTTGGGGGGGTTCATCTCCATATTGCTGCATCTTACAGTACTACATCTAAAAATGAGCTCCAGATTATATTTTTGTCTGTCAAGCCACGCTGTGGAAATTAATATAAATTAATTATCAGCTGCTGAAAGAGGTTTTTTTTTTCATCCATCACAAACCTATGATTTAATGCTGAGAGTAATGTAGCACATTTCAGGTGTTCAAAGGGTTCCACGTACATTATAGCAGTTATACTTTTATTACAGGCCTGCAAATTAGGCCAGAACAATTTCCCCATATTACAGATTGGTGACGGGGGGGCGGGGGAATACCAAGGCTAAAAGAACAGTGACTCAGCTAAGTTGGCCTAGTGAGTGTGCAGCAGAACTGAAATTTTAAGTGGGGATTCCCCAGCTCCCAGTCATCAGCCCTGTCAATTTTCAGATCTACAAAAAACGTCAACATTGCTATAGAGTTGAGGAAGAGCAAATGATTTTCCAGAGGGAGAAAAATAGGCCAATATTGCCTAAGTTTTCAGACTGACAAAAGTGTCAACATTGCTATAGAGTTGAGGAAGAGCAAATACTGTAATTTTTCTGTCTTAAAAAATCAAGGCTTGCAGAATCGGAAAAAACGAAGCCTGCAATCCCACTTACTTGGGAGTAAGGCCCACTGAAATCAATAAGACTTACTTACGAGTAGGCATATATATTTTGGAGGGAGGTCATTGCACTTAAGTCTATTGCATTTATCGTTTTTAACTATCTGAAAAGTGATTGATGCTGTTTACGCATAACGATAATCATTTTGGGGGTGGGAATGCAGAAAAACAGTTGTTCACATTACATTGTGTGTGTTCTGATGTTTTCTCAGTCTCCCTAAAGTATATTTTATACTTAAGAGGAGCGGGTTGTAAAATTCTGAAAACTGGGATGGGTGGGAAATGAATTGTAAATTGAACTGGAAAGGAATTACAGTGGTACCTCGGGTTACATATGCTTCAGGTTACAGACTCCGCTAACCCAGAAATAGTGCTTCAGGTTAAGAACTTTGCTTCAGGATGAGAACAGAAATCGTGCTCCGGCGGTGCGGCAGCAGCAGGAGGCCCCATTAGCTAAAGTGGTGCTTCAGGTTAAGAACAGTTTCAGGTTAAGTACGGACCTCCGGAACGAATTAAGTACTTAACCTGAGGTACCACTGTAGCTGCTTTTTAGAGTGAGCGAACCTGAAGTGGATCCAGTTCCTTTTTCAGATGAACTTTCCAAGCACTGATGTTCACTATGAAGGAGAGTGTGCAACTGAGTGTGTAATATTCATGCCTATGATAAAACGGGTTCTGGACATGTAATCTTAGGCCTTTTATGGGTTCTACAATATTCTTGGTTGCTTTTGCAGAAGCAGTCTAACACATCCGGGGTTTGATTTTTACTCCAAGCCTTTTCTCTCTCCAAGATTATATTGCGCCTCAGTCATGCACCCCTTGGTCATCTCTAATCAGACCTGAAAAACTTGAAATGCTACCCTGTCACCGCCCTGCATTTCCTGAACCTTCTCTAGGTCCTGGTAGGAAGGCAGAATTAAAAAGGCAAGATTTATAGGGGGCATGAACATGAACCACAACCCGAGACCTTTGGAGTTTCAGGTTACACATTGGTGAAACCATGAGACCTCCCGGGGCTCCTTTGACCAAATGGATTTATAGCATTTTTCCCATGGAAGGTTGCGGTGGGTGGTCTATTGTATCCTTTACAATCTGCCATTCTTTAAGGGGGCAACTCCCAAACCCTCCCACCTCTTATCAGTGCTTGCTGACCATTGTTCCTGCGGAGCACCAGGGGAGAAAACCATGAGGAAGAGAAACTAGTTGCTCCTATGTTGTTCCAAAGAGAGGGAAGTTATAAAGACTAAATTCTGCTACAGGGTGAGGCAGGGGAAACTGCAGAGCATTCCAGATCTAGCTGTGGTTGCTCAGAAGTACGTCCCACTCTCAAGTGGGAAGGGGATGTGACTGAGTGGGACAGCATCTGCTCTGCATGCAGAAGAACACAGGTTTTCAATTCCTGGACTCTCCAAGGAGGGCTGGGAATGTCCTCTGCCTGATACCAGGGAGACCCGCTGCCAGTATCCTCTTCCAGTCCTCACTAGTCTCACTTCTTACTTGTACCCAGTCCTGGGGTGAGGAGAGCAGTCGAGGAGCTTGGGGCCTCAAATTTCAGTGGCACCCTGTGCGACATCAAAATTTGGCGCACGCACCCGCCTCTCACGCTCCATTCTAAATAATATATCGAATTTATATACCGCTGCAAAATAAAATAAAGAAAGGTTTAAAAAGGTAAAGGTACCCCTGGCCATTAGGTCCAGTCGCGGATGACTCTGGGGTTGCGGCGCTCATCTCGCTCTATAGGCCTAGGGAGCTGGCGTTTGTCCGCAGACAGCTTCTGACTCATGTGGCCAGCACGACTAAGCTGCTTCTGGTGAACCCACCAAAGTGGTACCTATTTATCTACTTGCACTTGATGTGCTTTCGAACTGCTAGGTGGGCAGGAGCAGGGACTGAGCAACGGGAGCTCACCCTGTTGCAGGGATTCAAACCGCCGACCTTCTGATCAGCAAGCCCTAGGCTCTGTGGTTTAGACCACAGTGCCACCTGTGTCCCTGGACAGTTAAGTCCAGTCAAAGGCAACAATGGGGTTGCGGCGCTCATCTCAGCTTTCAGGCTGAGGGAGCTGGCGTTTGTCCACAGACAGCTTTCTGGGTCATGTGGCCAGCAGGACTAAACCACTTCTGGTGCAACGGGACACCGTGACGGAAACCAGAGCACACAGAAATGCCGTTTACCTTCCCGCTGCAGCGGTACCTATTTATCTACTTGCACTGGCGTGCTTTCAAACTGCTAGGTTGGCAGGAGCTGGGACAGAGCAACGGGAGCTCATCCCGTTGTAGGGATTCGAACCACCGACCTTCCGATCGGCAAGCCCAAGAGGCTCAGTGGTTTAGACCACAGCGCCACCCACGTCCCTTTACCAAAATAAATATATACAACCACAAAATACACAATCAAAATAAAAGCAGCAACAACCCAATAACACCTCCCCCCCACCACCACATTTTAAAAGGGCATAGGATGTCAATCCAATCAGCCAAAGGTCTTGATTGAAAAGGAACATTTTTGCCTGGCACCTAAAGGTGTATAACGAAGGCACCATGCGAACTAATATTTGTGGCATCTCCTACAGTGCAGCCAAGTGTGACAGAGGGGTTGGATGCAGAAGAACGGTGGGAGGAACCAGCTGGGAATCCCCAAGGGAAGAAGTATCAGAGTCCAGGATTAGTGGTGGGTTGACTGATCAGAGGGAGAAGACTGGGAAAAGAGTGTGTTGGAAGCTGAAGAGGTAACCAGATCACTAGGCTCAGAAAAGTGTTCAGCTGAGGCAGCAAGATCTCTGTGGGTTCATCTTAAGGAAAGGGCAGTGCGGTAGAGGAACATAAATCCTACTCTTTTCTGAGCCATACCAAGGCTGAAGATTCTTATAATTAACCTTAAAAAGACATCTAATTATTAAATAGATCAACATATAATTATATTCTCTCCTAAGAGCAATAATATATGCCCATTGCCACCCTTGTATGACTTGTCTTTCAGACTGTAAACTTTATGGAGGGTAAGCAGCAGCTGTTGTTTTTTTGCAAAACTCTGTAAGATGCCCTGTGTTGCTGGTTTGGCACAAATAATAATAGGCTGGCTAATTATTAAATTCTCAGGAAAGAATTACGAAGTCCTAAAAAGAGGGTTAATTGATACACATGACTAGATATTTTTTATGCTGTGGAAGTTGCACGTTGTGGTGTTACGAGAAAGCTGTGTACGAAACACACTTAAGATAACATCTCACGGCATTTTCTGAATGCTAAGAACCTAAAGGAAGACAATACAGTTTAAACATAGGTTTTTCTCTTAATATGGTGAGGGTAGGGAAGTATGTGTTTTGTGACAAATGTAACATGTTCAAGCAACATTAACTTTTATGGTCCTAAGCTCATCTGATTTTGTTCCAAACATAAAACCTACTGCCCGTTCACCAAATGAGAAAGCAAAACTACAATAAAAGGTCATTAACCTACTGCCTATTTTCTTAGCAAGGTCTTGCATGTTATGCCTCTGGTTATTTTACTCACAGCTAAAATACCATTTTGAAAAACTGCTCGCAGATCATGAAACTTTGGGAAATGGTCTTTTAAATGATATATACAGCATGTCAACTATATACGGAACTGAAAAATGGGTCTGTAGGTTGCTGCTTTCATGGAAATACCCTTTTTTGCAATCCTCTCACCTTCCCTGCCCCAAAACAGAGCCCCCACAAAAAAACCCTGTTCAAAAACAGTACATACATACAAACTGCAATTTAGTTTTATTCCACTCCAGCTATAAACACCAGTATTATTTTTTTTTTAAAATGGCCAAAGGCCCAATTATGTGTAAGGATCTTATTTCCTTTCGTAAAAAAACTACTGCAGGGATATTTATAGACATGTATATATAGCCAACTGACCTTTGGACTGAGAAATGCAGTGGTAGAAGTGTCTTCTAGAGGAGCAGCACAGCGGGGGTTAAATTCCTGCGTTTCCACCTGTGGAGCAGATGATTAATCATCTCTTTAATCAGTTGACAGCCCGTTTATTTATATGCTATTGATACATAACTGCGCTTTGTAACAAAAGCGGAGCAGGCAGGTTTCACTGGGTCACAAAAGCTTGTGCCACAATAAATCTATGCAGTTTTTTCGAAGTGCCGCAAAAGTCTTTATTTCCAAAGTTAGGGTCAAGGCCAGGGGGAGGAAAAGCACCGAGGCAGGGGGAGCCATGGCACAAATATCTACATAGGCTGATTTGTAGGCATATCTTATTTATTCCGTTCATAAGACACCCTTTTCCCCAAAGAGCTCCAAGTGGCCTACATCATGCTTCTCCCCCTTCTCATTTAATGCTCAACAACAACACTGCGAGGTAGACTAGGGTGAGAGACTGGGATTGGCTCAAGGGGACCCAGTGAGCCACACTGGTCGTTGAGGAATTAAGATGGTCAGCAGCTGGTGAGTTCAGCCAGCATTTTGCTTTGACAGTAGGTTCATGTGCTATATATATGAAGAATTGATGTTTCTGAATTCTGGTGCTGGAGGAGACTCTTGAGAGTCCCATGGACTGCAAGAAGAACAAACCTCTCCATTCTGAAGGAAATCAGCCCTGAGTGCTCACTGGAAGGACAGATCATGAAACTGAGACTCCAACACTTTGGCCACCTCACGAGAAGAGAAGACTCCCTGGAAAAGACCCTGATGTTGGGAAAGATGGAGGGCACAAGGAGAAGGGGACGACAGAGGACGAGATGGTTGGATAGTGTTCTCGAAGCTACCAGCATGAGTTTGACCAAACTGTGGGAGGCAGTGGAAGACAGGAGTGCCTGGTGTGCTCTGGTCCATGGGGTCACGAAGAGTCGGACACGACTAAACAACAACAACATATATACTTAATTTTTATTAACAGTTTTCACATAACAAATTACTTAAACAATTGTATTTCCCCCCATTCCCCTCCCCATATCCTCGCCCCTCCCCCCCACGACTTCCCTCAGTTCCTCTTTCTGGTTTATTAACACATTGTTCTTTGCATATTGTAAAAGTGTAAAAATCTCTAAGCTATCTATTACGTTAACAAATAAATTTGTGTATGTTTATTCAAAACCTGTCAAGGAGTCCAACTCATTTTGTTGATTCTTTAGATACTTTGTACAAGGTTCCCGTTCTTCTTTAAAGTCACAGTTATCCTCGTCGTGTAGTTTGTGCGTCAGTTTTGCCAATTCCGCATCGTCCATCAATTTCTCTTGCCACTGTTCTTTTGTCGGGATTTCTTCGTTCTTCCACCCTTGTGCTATTAAGACTCTTGCCGCCGTTGTTGCATACATAAATATATTCTTCATTTTCCTTGGCAGGATGTGCAGAATATTTTTTTTAAAGGAATGTCAGTTTAAAATGGAAGGAGAAAGGGCAAGAATCGGGGTGTTACAGCAAGGCTCAAGCCCCGTGGGCCATAATTCCCATGGCAGACACACAGACCATGCTCAAAGCATGGAAAACACAAATAGGCAAACTATCCCCAACCCCATCCCCACTAATCCCCCTGGCGTACCACCCATTATTCCACCATGCAGCACAAAACCTCAAGATAAAAACCTGGTGAACCAAAAGCTTATATCGCCTAATAGACTTTTATAAAAATAACAAACCCTTGTCAACACAAGAAATACAAGACAAACTAGAAGACACCCAAATGCCCTGGTTAACACAACACCAACTACATGCCCTCTTAAACAACCCAACAGTAAAATCAGCAGCAACTAGGCCCCTGACAACCTTCGAAAACCTCCTCCTAACAACAAAGGGAAACGGTAAAGGGACGGTGTCAGGGAACTGCCATCGGAAGGAAGGGAGGTGAAAGGGCTCACACAGGTTGGGAGAGACTCAGCAGCTGAAGAGGGAACCAGTAGGGGGAGAGGAGCTGAGCTGAGGGAAAGTGAGCTGGAGGGATGGCTCAGAGACACTTCCAGCGAAAACAGTGGGGAGGTTTCAGGACCTCCTGTAGGAACACCCACTCCTCGCCGGAAACTGTCACGCAGAGAGTCCAGAAGACGTGTTTCCGTTAAGGAGCTTTTATGTTGGAAGCGATTCCAAAGCAACCACTGTCGGAATCTGCTAGTGACTAGAGGAGCCATGTCTGAAGGGCTCCGTCACAGACAGAGGTTTGTGGACTTGAACAAACTCTGAGGGGATACTATTTTACGCACAAGCAGCTCATCATCCCATCACAGCATTCCGACAGTCTTTGAAAGCAGCTTGTGCAGGAGAAGGCATCATGAGCAACCCAGCCGGAACCGGAGAAGCAGGAGCTGGAGCGGGTCCAAGCCTGGAAGAAAGGTACCGGGTGTTGGAGGTCCAGCTAGCGCTGCAGACGGCGAGGCTTGAGGAGAGGAGGGCTCAGGATGCAGACAAAAGGGAAAGCCACCCAGCTCGCCAGA